ACGTGTGCACCGACATGCTATTGTACAAAGACTCTTTATTATTTACAAACAACACGAGTTATGTTTTAAATTTCTTAAATTTCTGCATGATAAATGAATCATGGATACGAACCTGTAAACAAAATTGTCGAAAACACAACTCAATCCCTCAGAAGGTTAAAAGGGTAAAGTAGAATGTAGACCGAACCGTCAATCGTTAGTGCAGTGCCAGTAGCAATTCAGAAGTTTGCCCGGATTGCGCAATCGTCGGAATACACTTCGGCCCATATAAATATTCGCCACTGAGCATAATCGTTATGTACCACATTATCGTTCGTAGTTCAGTCATTCACTGCATGAAGGGCCAATAAACGGCTTCGTTGCTTGCAAGGGGCCGATCGAGTCGGTACTGGTCTGTAAAGTTAGAAATTAAAACAAAAATAGTTACAACTAAAGCCCGGCCGCCCCCCCCCCCCAACTCAGTGTTATTTAGGGTACGCGTATATGCTTAATTGTTCCCTCTTCTTGAAAGCACCCTATCTCAGGACTAGCTGGCAACATTTCCGAACCCCCCTTTCGCGGGCTTTTTTGGAGACCCCCCTAAATCCGAAAAAAATTCTCAGGAGTCCAAAGAGATGAGAGAAAAAAAGAAGATAAAAATATCCCCTTTTTAAAGAAATCTTCGGGTAAGAGTCAAATACACCTCCTTTTTTTACAATTCTGGTGCCGGACTATGGTAACACGCATTGTATCCCTCCGTTCTCGGAGTGGGGGGAGGGGGTGGGGAGGGACTAAGGCCACTGATTAGGGGGTGCGGAAGGGGGTCTTCTTGTCTTGTTCTCCAACGTAATTATCTCTTTCTTTTAGTCTTCGAGAAGCTTAGTTAAAGCAATGCATAAAGAAGTTTAAAAAATGTGAATTGAATTAATTAGCAACATGCAAATGTGAACCAAAACAAAATCCTAGTTTCACGCATGCAGCGAGGTCCATGAATCTCTATAATAGGGCAGTGGCGGATCCAGGGGGGGGGCGCGAAGGCCCCGCCCCCTGTAAGAAGCGCCCTATGCTCCTTTTACTTTGACAAATACCCCTAATAATATGTAAAAGTGCCCCTTCCCCCTTTTTACCTCTGGTAATGTTTTTGCTGCAATAACTGTCAATTTTCCATTCTCATAAGCGACCTATTCAAATCTAAGAGATGCCCTTTTCCTTTCTAATAACTGCCCCTTTTCATAATGATAAATGCCCCCGTTTAAAAAGAGAACCCCTTCCCCTTTTCATCTCTGGTATAATTTACCTTGATTTACCTTGATGTTGGGCTTCAAGTATAATTACGTATATGCCCCTCTGCAGCAGGATTAATATATGTATGTAATGGGGATTGCGCCAACGTCGGAGCTTCGGACAATGCAATATAGCAAGGAAACATTTCTTTAGGGTTGTACATGTCATATTTAGCTCTCCATGCTTTTTCCAGATTGGATTTGAATGAGTTCACAGATGGGCTATCATAAGCTAAAGCTGGAAGCGCATTCCATAAATTGACGACTCGTTGTGAAAACGATCCCATTCGGATTGAAGTGAAGGCTCTAACTGATCGATACTTTGAAGTTGTGGCCACGTGTTCTGTCATTCGAGGGTCTTAGAAAGAATTGGTTGGGGTCACTGCGGTCAATCCCATGGAAAAGTCTATATGTTTGTATCATATCCGCTCTGTGACGACGGTATGCAAGTGTGGGCAGTTTCAAATGTCTAAGCCGGTCAGAATAATGATCCTTTTCAGGTACGAGAAGGTATTCCTTTTCAGTTTATATAAGTGCCCCCTTCACCTCCTATAAATGCCCCTTTTCAAATCTGAGTGCCCCTTTTACCTCTGATAATTTCCCTTTTAACTGATGTTATGTGCCCTTTTTCCTTTCTAATAAAGGACTTATCCCCTTTTCATAAATGCCCCTTTTCACCTTTCACACGTCCCCCCCCCCCCCTGAAATTTGAAAAAGTGCATACAGAAAATGTATAGCGAATACTAACTAAAGACTGCAACACACTTTTAGGCTCTGGAGGGCCCAATAGCGCAGCGTTTAGACTAATAAAAATGCAAAATCTTCTAGCTCGGTCGCTACGCCACCAGTCGCATAATATCCTTTAGAATGAGCAAGTAAATATTGTAGAAAACCTGTATTCCGTTGGTATCACCGTGATACCCGATAGCGGACTGATGGGGGGGGGGGGGCATTTTCCTCCCCCAAATAAAACTCAAACTTGTTTTATTTCTAATTCGATACCCGTGATTTACAAATGTTGCTGAAATGACATGATTTTCGTGATGCTAATTCCTCACTTTGTGTAAATTATACGGGTTTTTTGCGTTTGTTGGAAAATGAAAAATCCCCAAATTTACAGTCAGGCAAAACATATGCTTATTAAGAAGCCTACATGTCAGGACCCACGGAACGGAAGGTTAGGGGGCCCGAGCCCCCCTACCACTACTTTTTTGAAAAAGTATGTCTAGATAAATAGAAAAAAAGAAAAAATAGTACTTGGCCTGCCACATATAAGGTTTCAAAATATATGCTCATCCGACCTAAAGGCCTAAAACATCTGAGCGTGCGGAGGCTTTCCCCCAGGACCCCTCCAGGGGCCATATGACGGGACCCTGGAAGCTAAACTGACCGTGATTTAATGCCTAAACCCCTGAAGTTTTGGGGGCTCCGCCCCCCTGGATCCCACGCCAATTATTGTCCTTCCAGTGTCACAAATAAGGTATCAAAATATGTTCATCTGACTGTAATTAACTGCCCAAAACCCTCATCTTCCGGGGGCTCTGGACCCCACCAAGGGCTCCAGGGTGGGCCCCTGAATGCTCATCTGACCGTACTTTAATGCCTAAAGCCCCTGAGCTTCATGAGGCTCAGCCCCCTGAACCCCACAATTAATGACTTGCCAGTTTCACTATTAAGGTGTCAAAAATGTGCTCATCTGAACGTAATTAAATGCCTAAAACCCCTGATCTTCCGGGGGCTCCGTCCTTGACCCCGCCGGGGCTCTGCCCCCAGAGCCCACGCCAATATACGCTACACTCTACCTGATCGTAAATACTATAGCCCCCCCCCCCCCCACTTTGAAAAAACGTTCCGCGGGGCCTACATGTAACGCGTAAGAGTGGTGGTGACGCAGATTTTTTTTCTTCTGCCCCCCCCCCTCCCCCTCCAGGGTCGGAATGACCGCATGCGGGTTACCAAAATGTCCGGTAAGGGGGTACTTTTCGTGCGACAAAGTCTGGCCTGAGAATTGTAAAAAAGGGGTGTTCTTGACTTTTTACCCGGACATTTCTTTAAAAAGGGGGTGTTTCTCTTTTTCTCTCTCATCTCTTTGCACTCCTGAGAAATGATTCCGAATTTAGGGGGGTCTCAAAGGCAGGAAAAGCCAGCGAAAAGTCTGTGAAAGGGGGGTTCGGAAAAAATGGCAGTCCTCAGATAGGGGGTGCTTTCAAAAAGAGGGAACGAGCATACGCGTACCCTAAATAACACTGAGTGGGGGGGGGGGGGGCCAGGCTGGTGATACCAATGGAATACAAATTTTTCCTCGCATTTCGTCCCCCCCCCCCCCCGGTCATGAAAAGAAATCGCCGCCCCTGCCGTTATATATGAGATGTGCTTATAACCCAATCAGAATTGAGTTTGTTCCTCTTTGCAAGATTAATCCTCCACCCCAATGATAGAAAGCTTTTACAAGTACTTTTTGGTAATGCAGGATTATATGTGCAGGTAAGACTATAGGGCCGTTCTTTAAAGTTGGGGGCGTTCTTTTTATTGCCCATCAGGGGGGTGCAACTCCGCTTCTGCATCCGTCTAGCCATGGGGAGATTTTGGAGGGTCAAAAGTGCACACTGCTTCCATTTATCGTGTATTAGCCTATGAAGACGACAAATTTTTAGTGCACCAGCGAAATGGGGATTTTGGACTGCGCGCAGCGCGCAAAATATTTAAATTAAAATTTTGAATATTCATGAGCTCTTTTCCACTTATTAGCATATTATCGCAATGAAAAAAAGACAATGCGCATGCGTTACTATATCGACAGAATCATAATTGGGCCGGATAAATGTAGAACAAAGGTCAGAGATGGGGAGGTGTGTGGGGAGGGGGGGGGGGGGGGGGGGGGGGGGGGGGGGGGGGGGGGGGGGGGGGGGGGGGGGGGGGTTGGGGGGGGGGGGGGGACTGGGGGGGGGGGAAAGTACATTTTAAAAAATTCAGTTCAGTTAAAAGGCAAAAATAATGACCCCATTTCACTCAATTCATTTTTTACCTCTTTTTTTTGTTCGTTTATTAACTTAAATATTTTTTAAATCAGACAAATTGCACTGATCATTTAGCCCACTTAACAAGTGATATTTTCATATTTTTAGTGTCCAATTCACGAATTATTCTCACCTCGACTTCAATGATCTTCATATTGTGCCCCATCCCCAATGAAATTTCAATTTTGTCTCGTTCTTTTCATTCTTGCATTCGTCGCCACTGATTTTTTTTTAAAATCCCCCCCCCCCCCCAACAGTAACATTTTCAATACAGGGACCCCTTCTAATAGTGACATTTCCATAGGCTCTATTACCCCAATTACCTATGCTTTCATCATTTCGGCATCGACTTATTCTTTATTTAACCCCCCCCCCCCCCTCATCTTTATTGTAAACCATTTTTTATACTGCATTTATTCATTAGTCTTGCCCACTCTCTTGTTACATTTCCGCTTTCTCTCTCATTAGGAAAGATGGTTAAATCTATCTCGCTGATTCAAGATAAAAACAAACAAAATTAAAAGGTCGAACACCATACTCAATTCTACACAAGACTGCATCAGCCCCCATCTCACCTCAGTCATACAGCATTATCATTACAGAGTGCCTACATCATCATAATCACCAGCATCATCACATATATTTCACAAAATAAGAAAATGAAAAGAACAGAATTCAGCAGTATTAACTGATTTATTAACATTTATGAACTCATTTATCAACATATTTTGTTTCTACAAAGTCTTTTTAAATCCAACATGACATTAACAAAAGGATGAAAAATGGATGGGGGGATGCTGTCTCTTGAATTCAAATCTTTCAGTTGTAAAAATTTACTGTAGATTTTGAAGAAAAAAATATTCAATAATACCAACATGCTATTTTATTATGTAAAGCACAGGTATATACTGAGTTTTATGAGTACTTTATCTAACATTGGACATTATTATTGTTTTTACTACTACCTGTATTATCATTATTATTACTGCTATTATCATGATCATTGTCATTTTTGTTACTATTTTTAATATTGTTATTATTATTAATATTAATTATATTAATACAGTCTTACTATTGAACTACATCACTTTATCCCCCCCCCCTTCAATTTACTATCCAGTTCAGCATATCCCTCATATTGTTGTCAGAACTTGACTTAAGATTAAATATCCAAAAAAAATGTTACATGTACACGCATTTAAAAGAACAAATGATTACTTTCATGATCCTCGATATATCTTCTTCTTCTTCTTCTGGTAATCTTCAAAAGGCGTTGTAGCCTATCACGAGGATGAACTAATACTAAAGATTACAAGTGGTGTGAGGAAGACAGATGGTTTCTAAGTGGGATAAGGAGAGTAGATGCCTCAGAAGTAGTCCCTGGCAGTTCTCTGGACTGTCAGCATGCACTATATTTGCTGGAAGTCAGTTCCATTAACTTTGGGATAGAGTGTTGGGCAAATGCAAACTTGTCTACCTATGTCGCTTCTGGCTTGGTGCAACTGGAGGGTCATGTCATGGTACTTCCTGCTCGTGATTTGTTAAAGCCCGTCTGTACTAGTTTGGCCAGGGGGATAAGACCACCCTGCAAGGTCACTGACAGGTGGTTATCTCATCAAATCAGCTCTCAATTAATATAAGAAAAAGAGGATCATGGGGGACCAACAGGCACAGATTAGGCATTGTTTGCTATATAGAGGGCGCAAATAGCTATAAGTAGTGCAGTGGGAAAATTTTCAAGGAAGAGCGGAGAGACCATTGACTATCTTGCGCACCATTCCCAGTCTTCTTGCAGAGTGCCTTGTAGTTGTAGATATAGTAGGCAACTAAAAGGTGCTGATCATCTCAGTCAAACTGTTGCTTCTCTTGTGGTCCCCATTGTGAAGAAGCGTCCTGGACATCCGAGATGTTGTAGGGATCCCAGACACCGGAACAGTTCTCAAGATGAGGGTGGACTAGGGACTTGTACAAAAGAAGCCTGGGTATCAAACCTTCTGCAAGGGACAACCTGCATAATAAAAACAAAAAGAGAGGAGAAATCAAATAAGATTAAAACTGCTGCATTATATTGGATTTTCAAAAATAGATCTAGTACCTTTCCACTTTGTTTAGGTCTTGCATTTTAATTTTATTAAAAAATGATAAACTTATGTCTATCTGATAGGGCCTTTTTTGAAAAGAAGAGTAAAGGTTTAGATGTATTTCCAATTATTTTAAAAGTAATTTCCAATTTATTTTAAGTTAATTTGCTAGACTTTTGTGAACAAAGGTTTGTTAGATATAATGTAATATTTAGGAAAAAATGCCTTTGAGTACATCTTTTAATATGCTGAGAGAATAAACTGTAGCAACACCATAGTTTGTCACCTAAATAAAAAGCTAGAGAATAAATGAGAATTACAAGATATAATGCAACACAAGATGACAGTTCCCCAAATCTTTGTATATAGTCCAAGTCGCGTGCGGTGTTCGCATGGGCTTAGATTATACAGCCTGAATATTTTCGAACTTCATACAAACATACCTTGCCAGAGTTCAACTTAGGTGTCCTGTTCCTGATTAAATCTACACCATAACATTTGATGATCAGGTCCTGGTGCTCTTTGTTGCACTTCTGTGATCATTATCTGCTTCTTTGTTCCATAGGATCTACAATTTAAAGAAAAAATAAACTTAGTAAGGTTCCTGCTAATATCAAATGCATTAGTTATCAGTTTATAACTTTGTTCATGTCCTTTAATAGAGAAAGAAATATCCATATCATATGTAGGGTTGGATCCAGAATTCTCACCAACATAAAACTAAAAGGGGTGGCATAAAATCTAGACTCTAGATCTAGATCTAGACCCGTCCCTATGCCACATCTGAAAAAGGGGGCACACTGATTGTGCACCCCCCCCCCCCTCTCCATAACTTCCACATCATTTATTTGATCCACCTACACCAGGCATTTAGTCTTTCTTTATTAGAATGCATTAGACCTAGAATCTAGCCCTAGATCTAGGCCTATACTAGATGTGGGGTTAAATGCTGTTTATATTTAAGTGCTAGATCTAGACTAGTCTAGATCTAGACCTAGGCTCTGCTCACTGCTTAGGCTCTGCTTAGCCCGAATGTTTCTGTCTCTTTCGTTCGTTAGCCTCTGATTTGGGTAGGGCCGGCTGAAGAGAGGAGCCGACCCTACCCAAATCAGAGGCTAACGAACAAAAGAGACAGAAAATTCAGGCCAGACTATGCTATGAATACTAGCCTAGCCCTAGGCTTTACAGTAACACACTGTAAGTTATAGCCGCGCCAGCTCAGGAAACGCAGTCGCTTCTTGGTGGAGTGTTACAGCCGGCTAGAACCGGCGGATTGAAGATCATAAGAGACACATAGGCTCGACGAGATCTCATCGGCTTGGACTAGCAATGAGCCATTTGCGCAGTCTCCAACAGGTCCACATCTACGACCGATTACTATCGGTAATCAAGCTATGAACTGAACTTAAAATTATGAGATGTGCTCAATGAAATAACCTACGGTAAAATCCTGATATTTTCTAAAAATACTACCGTCGATGACTTAAATCAGAGTTCATTCAATCAGTTAATATTCTTTGGTCAGAAGAAAGAAAAGAGGATGGGGTAGAGGGTTAACCGGGTAATACGTTGTGACAATGCGGAGATCCCCTCACTGCAATGACGAACACATCACAATCATTTCAGAGATCTTCACACAAAATTGATCTTTACTTACTTTTTTGGTATCCATATGGTATCACTTTGATGTCGATGTTTGCCTGAAGATTTTCTGCTTCACTGAGATGTACTTGACAAACTTCTATTATAATAGAAATTCACTTAAAAGAAAAATGTTTCATTGTTCGTAATTGAATAACTTGAAAGTTGCAGTTCATACAACCGCCATTTTCGTGCTCAAATCGTAGGGAATTCTGGGAATGAAAAAAATGTTTTATGCATGACCTAATACATAAAACATTTTGTCGATGGCCAATCAACAAACGTATTTTTTACGTCATTGCTCATGAATATTCATTGACCCTCCAAAACCGTCGTTCAAATCGGACAAAACCCCCATAATGCATCCAATGCAAAACCTATGAAATGTCAAAGGTCACGATTTTAGTTGGCCCTCTAGTCCTCCTACGGAGGACATACTGTGTATGATCGAATCTCTTTGTTGCCCATTTGATGGAAAAAATTGCAGGGACGAATTATATTCAGACGAATTTATTTTGGATACATAGGAGCTGGGAGCTGAGGATCGCGCTTTGCATGATCCGTTCACGAATTTGAGCTTCGTTCACGAATTTGAACTAGGCAGCTGGCTAGCTCGTAATGAAATAGGATTCGTTTTTACGTTTAATAAAGGTGAACATTGAAATTGTGACGTGACGGTGACAGACCATTCTTGTTGAAATCCAAGCCTCAATTTACATATCTCAGCACAGCTCATAGTCATCTTGGAGAGGTTTGATTAATTTGTTGTTTCTAAATTCCTTCGTGGTCGCCGAGCCGCGCGCCGGTCTCCTCTCGAGAACGTCGCCTAGCCCTAGCGTCCGGGTAGGCCTTGGCCGGGCAAGAGCGCCAGCAGCGTGATTAAGGCCGCGTTAGACACAACGTTTCTGTCTCTTTACTTTAGTTCGTTAGCCTCCTATTGGGGGTAGGGTCGTTTTGGTGGGGTATTCTAAAGTTAAGCCTCTCTCTCTTTAAGCTAACGAAAGAAAGATACAGAACTTTTGGGTATAGAATTTGATTTTTTAGGGCCTGACTGAAATGAGCTGAGGTCATTTTATTTCAACAGGTTCAAGAATCAAGGGTTTTCATAAATCCATTGCATTAATTAACATGTTTAATCACTTTTGAATTTTACTAAGTTTAAAGATAAAGACCATTTATGGTCATGCGATTGCATTGTGTGTGAAGCTATACTTGGATGTTGAGATGTGTGGCTCGCTCCTTGATCTTGTGGATTCTCTTGTTGTGGCGGACTAGCTATTTTGATTACTCCGACGATCATGTTGGCCTCATTAGCTGTTACCGGTAGTCTGTTTACACTCACATGCTTACCGAATTTTAGGGATGAATCAAAAGTTACACCAAGGTCCTTCTCATCTTCGCGAACTTCAAGGTCTTTTCTTATACCTCCTCCTTCCATGTTGTACCTCCTCCTTCCATGTTGTACATGTACGTCGTCTTTACTACCTGCATATTGCATGTTTACCATAATGCATAGATCTAATACCACTAAAGAAGACGCCCCAAATTTGGACCCAAGGCTGAAGAAACAGATCATGATTTTGTGATTTCCAAATCAAAATGAGCTTGTTTTGATTATAAACACACACAAAATTCTTCTTAATGTTTCCCCTTTTGAGAAATTGTTGGTATGCAGCTAGGTTGATGGCATTATAATTCTAACGTACACTGTACATACATAAATATACACTGACACAGTCTGACAGTGTGTATCATATTCATATAGGGTTCACCCCCCCCCCCCCCCCCCCTCCCCCCCCTCCCCCCTCCCCCCTCCCCTTCCCTTCCCGGAATTCGATGGGCTTAAATCAGATATAGAGGTTTTTATTTTGAAGAAGTAAATGTAAACTTTCCTTTGCATTTTAGATGAATTCAATGTTGGAATATGACTAATAAACTCTCCTTTCTTTTGATTTGTGTTTAGCCATGCATCTAGAGTGTTGAAGATGACATCATTATTCACCAAGTCTGCCAAGTTAGTTGGTCAAGTAGTCAAATATTCTGCTCTCTGTTACTGTGGGGCTTACTGTGTTTCAGAATACATCTTTGATTTCACACTGGTAAGAAACATCATTTTTTAAACTTTTTTTCTTCCCCTTTTAAAGAGAAGGTTGAGTTCTGGGAAGAGGTGAAAAATAATTTGTGAGCATTTAATATTGGGGAAGAACATCAGATAAAAAATATTCCCTGAAAAATGTGGCTCTTCAAATGCCTTAACATTCTAAATAGGGCATGTTACGTCATCAAGTTGGGGAGGGATTTTTATGCCACATGCTCGTGTAGTCCCATATACATCTTTCTGTGTACAGTGCTTGTGACTTTACAAAGACTGGGCCAAATTTGTTTTTGTCATCATTTTGATGATTCCAGAACCTTGCAGTACTGAGTACACACCAATACTTACCGTATATATCAACCTTTTCTGATCGATTCCACACCGTTTCTTTCTCAATGCAATCCATACATGCCAACTGTTCAGATTAAAGAGGAACATTCCTCTTTTTGGGAGAAGATAATTATCATTTTAATGGAGGTGTTCCTCTTCCTGTACAAATTTGTCTGTAGTATTGAATAGGAGAGTTAGGATTGTTCCTCTTTTTTTTGAAAATATCATAATTTGTACAGATTTCTGATTTTCAAATGTTGGCATGTATGGCAATCGCGTGACCAGAACTCAACTTCATCTTTTAAGTTTCTGTTTTGGGAGAACAACATGAGAATACAGCCAAAAGGGTTCATATTGAGAGAAAATGATCAGAAAATTGTACTCCTTGTACTTCTTGTAGATACTCAATATCCCATCATGATCAGGAACAAAAGTCAAGTGACAGTGAAATAACTGGTTTTCCTTGACTTTTGAAACACGGATACAATCATGCATAATTTATTACCCATCCAGTTTCTTTCAAATGTTCACTGACCTGTTCCTATTGTAATCACACATTTCAACCTTATTTTCAGTCTAGATTTCCCTTGAAAGTGATATGCAAGCAAGGGTGTGAAAAGCTAACAGGTTAATTTTGATGAAGACCCTGCTAACTTTAACCAAGAAAACTCTATCGTTGCATCATTCAGTAAATTTTATTACTTTCAGATGGTACAGATTTTTAAGAAAAACCAGATCTTGCACCCTTTAATTTATTTGGTTTGAATAAAAAGATAACTGAGAATAGGGTGATTCTTGCAATCGATCGCAGCTTGAAAAAATCATGGTTTTATTTTTGTTGCTTTCAACTGGATTTAGCTCACTGATCTGTCCATCATATTTTCTGCTACTATTAAAACCTAGTAAATATCAGGGTGGACTTTCCCTTTAAGTGATTAATCCATTAATTAAATCTTTAGAAATGTAGAAGATAATTCATTATGCCCAGCAAATGAATACTTAACCACCACTTTATAAAGGCATTGTTTAACAGTGTTTCCAGTTTTACAAATCTGAGATGCATGGCCCTATGTGTTATCAGTGTCTGTGATATGGTGTAATATTGGAGCCCTAAACAAATGGCGTTTCAAAATTATCATGAAGTGCCTCAAAAAAGTAAAAATCTTTGAATGACAGGTTTTGCCATGTATTTCCCAATAGACTGTTGTGTTATAACAAACTGTTCAAAACTGTATGGCAACTGTTTTCGACATATGACATTTTAATCATAATTATCTTGATAATCAGACATGCGATCAGCTTGTAAAAGTCATGGAGTTCCTGACTGACCTAAAGGTTTATAATTATGATTGCAGCATGAGCTAAATCCAGGATTTTGTTTCAGAATCTCAGATAAAGAAACCCAATTCCTTTAACATTTAATGATCTGAACTGTTTATCTTGCAGTGCACTGGTCCATCTATGCTACCAACCATTCAGGAGAGAGACATAGTCTTGACTGAACATATTACTACTAGGTTTCTATTCAACATCAAAAGGTAAATGTAAACATTGGCAATTGTAAGATAATGCTGAACTTCATTATGGACATACATGTATGTCAGCACGTATAAGAAGTATAGTTGTTCAAATTGGACTTGAATGTTTATCATGTTCAGTATAACTGTTTTTTGATGATAAGCAAATTATAAGGGTTAGATGATTGAAATCAAGTTGTTCAAATTGAAATTGAATGTTTATCATGTTCAGTTCAGAGATGCCAACCAGTACGATTAAATCGTATTTGGGTCATTCCATGTCAAATCACCCAATGGTTTTAACCCGACCATTTTTTATTTTGATGAAACTTAGAGTACTTATTGAGTGTGATCTCACAGCACCAAATCCAAAATTTTAGGTCAATCGGATAAGGGGTTTGGGAGATACGGCCCACCAAATTTTGAGATTTTTTCAAAAATGGGGGTGGCGGGCCTACATTTGAACCCTTGTATTTCGGGACCTAATGGGTCAATCTTCACAAAATGTGTATTGTTGGAAAGGGTATTCAATAAGGATTCCAAATCTGCCGCCATTTTGAAAATTTGTACATGTTGGGGTACTTTGACCTCTTGACCTAAGATTTGACCTTGAAATTGACCTTGTGGATCACGTGACCTTGACAACATTTGTCATGAAATGTAATCTCTGACATGTTCACTTAAACATATAAAAGTTTCAGAGATATAATATTTTTTGTTTAGGAGCAATAAGGATTGAAAGTATCCATACTTACAGATATTCACAATAAACCCTATCATAATGTATACAATACATGCAATATGCACAGTATAACATAAATCTTCCACATGCTTTTTTGTTCTAGGCATATCCATTCTAAATGTCAGCAGTATTTGAATAGAAAATAAAATGACAAGTTCATATAGGCCTAAAGGGTTAACAGGATGTATGGCTTTAGGCCTTTGAGTCGGTTCTAGGATAATTACCCCCCCCTGGAAAATTAACCCCCAGGAAAGGTCCCCCCGAGGACAATTACCCCCCAGAAAATTACCTCCTAGGACAATCTGTCCCCCCCCCCCCCCGAGGACAATTACCCCCCGGACAATTACCCCCTAGGATAATTACCCCCCTATTCATTAAAGGGGAAGTCCATCCTGATAATAAGTTGGTTTTAATCAAAGCAGATTTTTTTGGGGGGAGGTAATTATCCTTGAGGGGTAATTTTTACAGGGGGGGGGGGGGTAATTGTCCTCTCGGGAGGGGGGGGGGGTGAAGATTGTCCTAGGAGGTAATTTTCTGGGCTTAATTAACCTCTGGGTGTGATAGTCCTTGGAGTAATTGTCGGGTAATTGTCTTGGGGGGGGGGTGAACATTTCCTGGGGGTTATTTTTCCAGGGGGGTAATTATCCTAGAACCGACTCAGAGGCCTAAAGCCATACATCCTGTTAACCCTTTAGGCCTATATGAACTTGTCATTTTATTTCTATTCAAGTACTGCTGACATTTAGAATGGATATGACTAGAACAAAAAAACAACTGGAAGATGTATGTTGTACTGTGCATATTGCATGTATTCTATACATTACAATAGGGTTTATTGTGAATATCTGTAAGTATGGATACTTTCAATCCTTATTGCTCCTAAACAAAAAATATTATATCTCTGAAACTTTTATATGTTTAAGTGAACATGTCAGAGATTACATTTCATGACAAATGTTGTCAAGGTCACGTGATCCACAAGGTCAATTTCAAGGTCAAATCTTAGGTCAAGAGGTCAAAGTACCCCAACATGTACAAATTTTCAAAATGGCGGCAGATTTAGAATCCTTATTGAATACCCTTTCCAGCACTTCAAATTTTGTGAAGATTGACCCTTTAGATCCCGAGATACAAGGGTTCAAAGGTAGGCCCGCCACCCCCATTTTTGAAAAAATCTCAAAATTTGGTGGGCCGTATCTCCCGAACCCCTCACCCAATTGACCTAAAATTTTGGATTTGGTGCTGTGAGATCACACCCAACAAGTACACTAAGTTTCATCAAAATCAAAAATGGTCGGGTTAAGATTTTCAGATTTTTTGGGTGATTTGACATGGAATGACCCATTTAGTACAATAATAAATGTGAAATAGGATATCACCTCTTAAAATACAATTTAAACAAAAAATTCTTCTAAACCGATAAAAACAGCGGAATCAAATAGAAACATGTACAAGTAAACCCCAGCAACCCCAACAAAAAGTTTGCTTCAAAATTTTCTCATTAAATTTGAATGACAGAGCAAACATTTTACTAGTAAGACATTTTTCTGAAATTTTACTGGCCCGGGGCGACGGGCCAGTGGTAGTGTCGAGTTTTCATGAAAATCTTTTTTTTTTTAGGATACTCAGTCTGTTTTGGTGTCAAGAGGTTGGCATCTCTGGTAAACTGTTTATTGATGATAAGCGAATCATATTGGGTTAAAGTGATTGGAAATGGAAATACGTATTCAAGAAGCTGCAAACATGTGTATGATCAATCACAACTTGAAAAATTCATCATGTTCTTATACTTTCCAGATTTGTATAAAAGACAGTGGTGTTTCACAAAGACTAGGATCAACTTAAGCTGGACTTGAACTATGGCAGGCCATTCATGCCACTGCCTGCTCTCATTATTGGTCTCTCAATTAAGGGACGTCACAAATCTACAGAATTTACATTTTTCATGGTTCATTGTTGAAGAAAAAAATTACTTCTATAGTAAATTCAAGTTATATTTAAGACTTGGACTTGTACTACACAATGTGATTTAGGCCCTTTAGATGATATTTATCCTTTAATAATGAACTATAAAAAAAAAGTAAAGTCTATAGATTTTTGACTACGTTTTGTATGTCCCTTGAGAAACCAATGTCAGGAATGGTTAGAAGAACTAGTGGCATGAATGGGCTGCCAAAGTTCAAGTCCAACTTTAAAGATATATCCCTTTTGCAGCCAACATCAAATTCTGTAGAATTTTGCAGGAATTATGAATGTGTCATATACATGTATGTCCTATCTGTGAAATTTAAAAGTTAGCAGTGTCCTAGTATTAAAAAAAAAATTGCAAGGAAACCTGTTTACTTTCTAGACTTCCCTGTCAGACACTATTACGTGACTGACTGACATATTTTTTTTGATTGGTAGTAACATACATAAAATGGGCTGTAACCGGTATATGAGCATTTGTCTACATCAATAACCCACTTCTTGTAATGGCCAGAATTAAACTGAATGAATCTTTGTGCCGCATAAAATGATGACCGATCGGTACAAGGGTCTAAAAATCAGACTATTACTTAGGTGAATGCAATCACTGATGTTGATTTGACAACTGATGGTCAATATTTTCCCACTTAAAGCCATTTTCAAACCCTTGCAAATGGGAAATACCGGTAGTATCTTTAAGTCAATCTCAAGCCTTTGTGAAACACCCCCCAGGGTGATTACAAGATATAATTCATTTAATCACATGTTGATACATGCACCTCTTTAGGCCTGTCCTCATCAGCTCGAGATTGCCAAATATTCCGCCATTTCAACTATCCCGATCGCAAATTATCCAGTTAGTTTGCATCTTAATCAGCCCGAAGTTGCAATTAGCGGGATATTTGGTCGGGACAATCAACCCAAGATATCTTTGGATAATTTGCAAAATATCCCGCTATTTGTCTGGTGTGTCTTCACCAGCCCAAAGACTTGCACTGTGCGCGAACGCTGAGCAAAACATCTCGAGCTAATTTCTCAAGGCCGAGTTTCAAGTTTCGAGGTTGAATCTCTAGCTGATGAAGACGCGATTTGTAACTTCGGGATTATTTCCCAAATCAGAAATAGCGTGCTATTTGGCAACCTCGAGTTAATGATGACACACCTTTTGTTTTTCTCATCAGGGGTGACATAGTGATCATCAAGTCTCCCACAGACCCAAAGCAGTTCTTATGTAAAAGAGTCTTAGGTCTAGAATGTGATCAAATACCGCAAGAAACATCCTGGAAATTTCTCAAGACCACCAAATATGTGAGTTTAAAATACATGTACCAACTCAATTCAATTCAATTTTGGTTTATTAATATCAACATATACCATGTACAATGCAGTAGTCCAGGGACCATTAATGCAATGTTTACATAAAATGTGCATAAAAACAGGAATGATCATATATTGTACTACGGTATCTTCAAGAAATCAGAAAGGTTTCAGTACTTGGCAAGAAATTTTCAAATCTACGAAAAATTCAATGTTGTGATAGATTTCTTTTACAGTATGAATTCCAATTGTTGACAAGGGTTACAAAAGGGTAAGAGAAAAATGAGAACTTCCCCACTTGAATCACTGAGTGAGTGTTGCAAGCTACACCCGCTGCTACACAATAAACAGTGTATAGCATGCTGGAGTGAAGCCATGTACATGTACATGTACTACATAGATAGTATAGTGGCAGTGGCCAGATAAATTTGTGATAATATGCAATTTCCCTGCTCTCAATGTTCTAAGTAAAGGGGGTTTTAGTGTTTAATCGATCATTTGTATCTCTAATATAACAAAATTTTAGCATTACTATTAGAAAGAGATTTTCTTAGTCCCAAGTACATGTAATATATATGTTTACATTTATTCTTTGTCTAATTTGTGTTTAGATTCCGCTGGGTCACGTGTGGCTTCAAGGTGATAATCAGAACAACTCCACGGATTCCAGAACATTTGGACCTGTACCATTTGGTCTTATTAGAGGCAGAGCTTTCTTTAGGGTAAACAACTTCTACTCTCAAATATCTTGTTGACATTATCATGACAGTGAATGTACTCATTATCATGACAGTGAATGTACTCATTATCATGACAGTGAATGTATTCATTATCATGACAGTGAATGTACTCATTATCATGACAGTGAATATACTCATTATCATGACAGTGAATATACTCATTATCATGACAGTGAATATACTCATTATCATGACAGTGAATGTACTCATTATCATGACAGTGAATATACTCATTATCATGACAGTGAATATACTCATTATCATGACAGTGAATATACTCATTATCATGACAGTGAATGTACTCATTATCATGACAGTGAATGTACTCATTATCATGACAGTGAATGTATTCATTATCATGACAGTGAATGTACTCATTATCATGACAGTGAATGTATTCATTATCATGACAGTGAATGTACTCATTATCATGACAGTGAATGTATTCATTATCATGACAGTGAATGTACTCATTATCATGACAGTGAATGTATTCATTATCATGACAGTGAATATACTCATTATCATGACAGTGAATGTATTCATTATCATGACAGTGAATGTACTCATTATCATGACAGTGAATGTATTCATTATCATGACAGTGAATATACTCATTATCACGACAGTGAATGTATTCATTATCATGACAGTGAATATACTCATTATCATGACAGTGAATGTACTCATTATCATGACAGTGAATGTATTCATTATCATGACAGTGAATATACTCATTATCATGACAGTGAATGTATTCATTATCATGACAGTGAATGTACTCATTATCATGACAGTGAATGTACTCATTATCATGACAGTGAATGTATTCATTATCATGACAGTGAATATACTCATTATCATGACAGTGAATGTATTCATTATCATGACAGTGAATATACTCTACTTTGTCTCTACAGACTCTCCTGGAATGTTTTGATAATTTTGTTCTGCAAGTACATGTAGTAATTCATTAATAACCCACAATGCAAAGGCTGGATACCTGAACTCAAAATTGTTGGCATGTCGTTACGAAATCAACACAAGTTTAGTCCATATAAATTCAGAACCTCGCGTTTTAAACAAAGTGCAATACCATATTTCATTGATCTTCTTAATAATTGCTGATTGTTTTAAGTTTTTCTTATCGAGCCCAATCTTTTTTATTTGTATATTTGAATAGCTGTCTTTTTAACCAGACCAGTATTTTATCTGTCATGGTTTCATTGTAGGATAATGAAGATATGTTTTGTGAATGGATATACTTTTCCATTTTATGTATCCTCGATCATTGTAAACACATACCTTTCAGCTTTTTAGCTGCAGCATGTGCATCATTGTACTCTATGTTTTTCGAAATAAAACCTTGAATTGAATTGAATAGTACTTATAGTATCATAGTATCATGATCCTTTCTACCTCTATCACCATCATCGTAATCATCTTTGTTATTATAGATTATGTGCTGTAGATTGCAAGACTTTCTTATTCATATGGCATGATGATCTACCCCATCCCAGTGCCCAATATAATTTTGCATGAATAAATATTTAGAAGCAGGCCTGATAAAACCCCGATTTTAAAAATTTTTCCTGATTTTTGCCCAATCCCCCCCCCCCCCCCCCAAAAAAAAATTTATCCTGATTTTCTTGATTTTTACCCTATTTTCTCCATTCTTCCCTATCTTTCCCTATTTTCCCAATTTTCTTACTCAAAGGGGGGGGGGGGGGATGTTGTGCCATTTCCCCCCCCCCCTCCAAATCCTCTTCTTTTTTTTTTACTCACGGGGGCGTGTTTTTTATTTTTTATTGCTCACTATCACCCATGTAGACGGTAATGTTTGACGCCATTTTATCTTTCTTGTTTCTAGGTATGGCCATGGAGTAGTATAGGTTGGTTGGACAGATAATGTCACGCCCCTCACCTGTAGGACAAGTCTTCAAGACTCCAACGGTGACATACATGTACACCTTGCATGTAAATCATGATGATGACACCTCCACGTATGGACTGCAATCATTGAGGATTCTTGCTGAATAGAACCTAATGAGAAGATTCTTGTTCAGTGGAGTCAAATGTGATGTCCCTCTCTGAATGGACTTACTCACAAGCCTCACCCATTCAGCTCACTGAGTAGTGTAGGCGTGGCATGTTCATTGCAGGATTGAATATTGCTTTCGAACTTGACAGCTTTTTGTGAAGAAAGATACAGGACAAAACATGAACGCTTCTGGTATATCAACATTCTTCATTGATAAGCGATGGTGATTCTTTAAAAGATACCATATGTCCCTTTTTGCAGCCAACATCAAATTCTGTAGAACTTTGCAGGAATATATATGTCATATGTGTCCTATCTGTGAAATTTAAACGTTAACAGTGTCCTAATATTCAAATTATGCAAGGAAACCCGTTTACTTGCTAGACTTCACTGTCCGACAGTCCGACACTATTAAGTGACTGACTGGCTTTTTATTCTTATTTGGTAATAACATACATAAAATGAGCTGTAAAGGGTACATGAGCATTTTTCAACATCAATAACCCAATTCTTGTAATGGCCAAAATTAAACTGATTGAATCTTTACGTAGCACAAAATGTACGACCATTCGGTACAATGGTCTGAAAATCAGAATATTACTTACCGACTTGATAGCACTCAAGCCGATTTGACAATTAATGGTTGTTATTCAACCTTCTCTTTTATCTGGCCTTCAAATGGGACATAGTACCTTTAATATCAATACGATAGAGTAGATTCACAATGAACAGCGCCCTCAACGGCAAGCCGGAAGGGGCCAATTATTCAGCTGACGGTTGACATTTTTCAATCAGCGCAGCCCAGCAAAATCGCTAGTACCTATTGAAATACCAAAGTGGACCGAACTGTGTAAATTCATTCAATTAGATCGGTTGTTCCGATATCAGTGCACATTTATATGTTGAATTTGGATGTCTAAGCCCACCCATCACCTGATTCTGACTAAAAATTTGGTGGTCAATAGAAATGATAATTTTTTGGTCAACAAAAATGACTGAAATCACCATATTGTTGTTGATGGGGGTTAATCAACCATGTTTTCTACCATCATTGACTTTTTTTACAAACATTGTGGGTCAGTTTGGGTCAAAAAATGACCAAAACATTGTGAGTAGGGTCAATAAGACCGATATTTTTTAAATTGATGCAATTTTTGTTACCCCTGATAAGGTATTCAAACGTTTCCCACCCTACACTGGGCCGAGATGCCCTTATCTCCTTCAGTAACGAGGATACAACTAAACCAGAGCTGATATTTTTGTTGACTTTTCCCCTATTATGCATTGCATGAAACGATTAAAAACTGGTTTCGCTAAACGGTGCTGTGGATCACGAATCCACCGTAAAATATATGAAAGAACAATGAAATATATGATTACATGTATTGTGATTATTTGTTGACTTGATTTGGTGAATACATGTACATTGTAGGTCCAGAGTCATTATTAAATGTCATTATTAAATCAAAACATATGTTTGTATTCGTGAAGGTCTGGCATTTGTTGGCGGTATTTTTTTTGCGGTGCTTCTAGATGTCAGAAGATCGTAATGAATTTCGTCCAACAGGCGAAATTGGAAAAGTAAAGGACAATAGACCGCAGTCTGACACATTGAATATTCAAGCTTAAAAGTTGAGTTCTGGCCATGCCAATGCATTGTGAAAGAAAAGGTGTGGAATGGATCAGAAAAAGTTAATCATGTGTACTGCAAAGCTCTGAAGTCGTCAAAGTCATAATAAATTTGGCTTAGTCTTGGTAAAGTAACCAAGCACTGTACACAGAAAGATGTATATGGGACTACTAACCTTGATTTCCTTATCTTTCTATGCTCATTACTTTGGCAAATGACATTTATTTGTAATCTTGAACATTCAGTGTAAGTTTCGTTTGATTCTGTGAGAATTTTTTTTTTTTACAAGAACTCAAATTTATCTTTAATGACCCATCTCTCTCAAAGAAATATTATAACCTGGGAGTGTTTCACGAAGACTAAGATCGACTCAAGTTGGACTTAAACTATGGCAGACCGTTCATGCCACTAGTTCCTCTAACCATTCCAGGGCATAGGTTTCTCAAGGGACGTACAGATCGTGGGCACAAATCTAATTTAATATCTGGTTCAAGACTTTTTAAGGGCATGAACCGCAATCTTATTTTAGTTTACTTTACAATGCAAGTGAATTTTCTCCTTCAACAATGAACTATAATAAAAATGTAAATTCTGTAGATTTGTGACGTCCCTTGAGAGACCAATGGTGAGAGCCTGAATTAAGAAGAGCCTGAATTATGAAGACTATCATCACTTTCATCATATTCTTTTATTCACAGATTATAGTGGTGAGAGTGGATATAGTCTACATCATCCAGACTAGATTAACTTCTATCCATTCATAAAAAATGAAATTAGAAAGGTTAGAAAGGTTGTGGTCTGGAATTCAGACTAATATGTGGTATAAAACAGAGGTGACACTTCAATTGAATACAAGAATGAAATTCAGATAAAGAATAACTTAAGTTTGTTTTATTTGGTTATCTTTTTTTTTTTTCATTTTCTATTTTCAGTTGTGGTACATACAGGAATAGATAATACACAATCATATATCTTCACAATTTTATTCTCTGTAACTGTACAACAATCACAATAATATGAAAATGATTTTTGTATGCACTATACATTTAATTTACATGGAAATCTCTCCTACAGCAATTTTCCTCCATTTCTTGTCATGAAGACCTTTATAACATGGACCCTTTGGCCTTATCAGGAAAATGAAACAAATTGACAAATATTCCTCTATGATGATTACAAAGGCTTTCAAATAAACTGCATTGCAATGTATCATAAATATGTACCCACTGTTATTTCATAAAAGGATTACTACCATTGTCTAACAAATAATAATGTGCAGACAGACAGAGGTAATGTTTCAAAGAAGAGGTGCATTGTACCCCTAGATGGCACAAAGAATTCAAAGCCAATGTGCTTCAATCCATTGCTTACATTAATCATTAGGCCTGTCCTCATTAGCTCTAGATTGCCAAATATCCTGCTATTTGAACTATCCCGATCGCAAATTATCCAGTTAATTTGAAGCTTCATCAGCCCGAAGTTGCAATTAGCGGGATATTTGGTTGAAATAATCATCCCAAGATATCTTGGGTTAGTTTGCAAAAGATCCCGCTATTTGGCAAAATATCCCGCTATTTGGTGCGTCTTCACCAGCCCAAAGACTTGCACTATGCGCGAGTGCTGAGCAAAATATCTTGAGCTAATTTCTTTAGCTCGAGTTTCAAGGTAAAATCTCGAGCTGATGAAGACACGATTTGTAACTTCAGGATTATTTCCCAAATCAGAAATAGCGGTCTATATGGCAATCTCGAGATGATAAACACAGGCCTATTGTAATACAGGTCATCATGATAGCTGATAATTATCTTTTCTCATTGAAGCCCAAACATTCTGTTATGAATGGCACCAATGAAATGTGAATAGCCTCCCAAACAAGAGGCAAGCCACATGTGAATTGTAACTAAATTTGCTTTTTGCTTTTACACTAATATTTCGTTTTGTCAAATTTTGGGTATGAGCTGCAGTCAATTAAAAAAGGACAAAACTAATACCGGTAATGAAGTGAACACAACAGATTTAAAAATAATCCAGTTAACAAACAATACAAAATGGCTGCCTTTAAAGACACACTCAACATAGCTGTACCACAAAGTCTGAAGTAGTAGTAGTAGTAGTGGTAGTACATGAATGACCTTATTCAATTAAAATCTAAGCACTCCACTGGCTTTTGTCTACAATCAGGTTTAACAGAGAAAGTTAGTCTGAAGTAAGTTTTCTTGTGATTACAATGTGGTCTTAGACACAGGGTGAGATGTTTAAGTAGAATAGGGACCATATCATTTCATCTTGAATCATAATATATCATCTTTGAGCTAATAACTTTCTTTATAAAAGAAATAATCCACATGTTGCCTTATAGATCTACATTCTCCTTCAAACACTTGTTACAATGATGGTGACATCTGTCACAATCTAAAACAGAAGAGAACTAACTTTTGGGTTGTCACTTGATAATGCTCCATGAAGCAGATAATACAAAACAAAAGCACATCAATCTTCCGTCATGCAAATAAAATCACAAAGAGAATTTACAGAATTAAACAAAACAGATCAAAGTATAAAATCACACAGAACAATTAAATAAACTCTTATTACAATTCTTATGGAAATAAAAGAAAAATACATGTATTTGTCAACCCACCGCATTAGGACGATCAATTTGAGAGGGGAAAAAATAGAAAGAGAGAGAAAGGAAGAATGAGAATGTGAGGAGAGATAGGGAGAGAGCTCTAGTAATATGCAAGGCATGATCATTCAAAATGATGAGAAGCCAAATACATGTACAGAATAGTGAACATCATGGAACAATCCTTCAGTTTAATACAAAGGATTTTAGATATAATAAATCAATCAGAGACGATGGATAAATGCATTTGCAAAGATCCCTTTCTAAAATGAATAACAGAATGGAACTGGTCCAAGTCTTGACCCTTGATATCATGATAATTCACAGTTCTGGTTAAGAGAATCAAATGGAACTTCAACTTAATGTTCAGAAATTATCCAAACAATTTGGTAGAAACTATTTAATACAAAAGTTGCAGAGTGATGAAGCAATAAAGAGATAGCAGTGCCGACACAACACATCTGTGCTTGAGGTGTGTTTTTTAAGCAACTTTCTCTCAAACAGCAATTCCTTTACCAGAACAGAGGTTAGGTTTAATGCAACTCTATTAAATTGTACTCAATATTTCACTTCATCTTTATATTTGCATAGACAAGAATATTCTTCACATAGACTTACTGCAGACGAATAGAAAAGGTACATGTAAAATGGATTATACCACATCGAGGATCGCCAATAATTCCTCATTTTCATTTATTTACTAAAAGCTAGATTTGGATACACTGTACATCATTTACATATCTTAATATGTTGTATCACCTATTTGCTATATCATTCTATTTACACAAATCACGGTAGACTAATTCATGCTCCTGCTTGATCTCTCCACGGTAGAGGTTTCACTAAGTTGTGAGTAAATGCTAGGGTTGGAATGAAATGGATTTCATTTAATTGAAAAGAACAACAGATATGACATAGGTTAAATAACAGGTCACATTATATCTTCACCACAATCATGGATAAATCATCAAAGGATAAATCTTTTAATTAGCTGCAGGTGTGTAACACTCGTAATAAATGATTGTGTCATGAATAGGAAACCCAATGTATCTCATGCTTTGGGATTGTGCACACATACTCCACGCTTTTGTGTCATATACACCATAGATTCTCAATTATAAATGGGAATGTTTATCGGCACTTTGCCAAACTGTTACTCTGCAAGTTCAAAATGAGTTTCCTGTGACATGATCACATTTTAAAATCCATCCGGTGATTCTAATCAGCTCTTAACTGTATCAGTAACGACCTACCTATCATACGTCACCGCTGAAAGGAAACCACAGCATTTGACAGTACATGTCATTAGTGTCCCTTTTGCAGCGAGTCTTTATGCAGTAAAATGATTTAAGGAGGGATTAGACCACTCTGCAAGGTCACTGGACAGGCGGTTATCTCATCAACTCAGCTCTCAGTTAACATAAGAAAAAGAGGATCATGGGGGACCAATGGTCACCGATTAGGCATTGTTTGTTATATAGAGGGCGCAAGTAGCTACCAGTAGTGCAGTGGGCCTTTAAAATCATTATCAATAAACATTAGACATGTACTTGCTATGTAAGGGACAAACAGCTGTTCAAATGGTTAACTAACATGTACTATTGGTGGGCGTTTAATCAATGCATTTAGTGAAGATCTCGGACAAACAATATCATCAAAAACAAAAAATAACATGAAGATAAAACAATATAAATAAACATGTGAGCAGAGGTAGTTTTAAATAAACTTATATTTGACACACAAGACACAAATGTGTGACAGTGAGAAGAAAAATCTGTAATAATCCATGAAAAGAAGTACATTTTTGTATTTCTAAATTCTTATTATTTATTTGCCTGATGATAACTTTCAGCTACAGGCCTATATGGTCTTAAAATATGCGTAACCTAAACCTTTTTTTTCCACGTAACCTAAACTCTTTCTTTTATGGAAACTAAACTCTTTCTTTCATAGTTACATCTACATGTATAAATATATAAATAAGCAATACAAATGCAATTATCTATAAACTGGTATAATGTTTACTTTCTTGCTACATTCAAGACTAGATTTGTCTGATTAAGCTGGGAGAACATACAAACATGAACAGATCGGTAATACTGAAGGCTACTAAATTGAGTATTCATTTACACTACACAGCTAGGTACAGACTGTATTTCTTGAGTGGAATGTAGTTGCTCTATAACACAACAAATGAAAAAAAAAACAATTCTTTGGATCTGGGTACGATGACTGAAGCCCTTAAAAACCTAATACGTAACGACGATGATAGACAGAACAAAGATGTACATCCCCTTGAAGTGCCAAACATCGGTCGGTCTGGAATCCATGTGGATAGTGTGGCGAGACTACGGTGTAATGCATATACCGTATGGGGTATAATAGGACAGTTTTATTATGTAATGCATATACCGTATGGGGTTATAACAGGACAGTTTCATTATGTAATGCATATACCGTATGAGGTATAATAGGACAATTTTATATGTAATGCATATACCGTATGGCGAATAATAGGACAGTTTCATTATGTAATGCATATACCATATGGGGAATAATGGGACAATTCCATTATGTAATGCATATACTGTACGGTGTATAATAGGACAATTTCATTATGTAATGCATACCGTATGGGATAATAGGACAGTTTCATTATGTAATGGATATACCGTGTGTGGTATAATATGACAGTTTCATTATGTAATGCCTGTTCAGTTTGTTAATAACAGAACAGCGCTTTAAGTGCACTATACAAATGTCACCATAGTCAAACCTGCTTTTAATAGTGAACACCTGTCTACAAAGACAGCATTTCTTGTCTCCATTGGATGGTCTCAATAAACAGGTTTCACTGTACGTGTTTCATTATCATTATTATGATAAAAGTGTCGTTACAAATTGTTATTCAAAATGTACATTGCATACATTGCATGTTGTTAGGTAGATAAAACCGTAATGCTTGCCTGACCTAGCATTAACTAATGTATGCAACATGCCTTCCAAGTAGCGAGTTATAATATGATATTACAGGTGGAAGTTATAGCTCTTTTTAAGGTAAATAGTTTATAGAGATTTAACGTTTCAATCTATGATAACGGTGAGGATCAAGCTATCTTAGATTTTGTTTAAAGATGAGAAAATTACTCTCAATCCATGCACTCATTAAGGTTTCCTTCTCATTTTGTTAAGAGTTTGAAAATCTTTGTTAACTTTTTTAAATGATATGATGAAGCAGAACCCAATCAATGTTTCTACTGAATGCAGGTAAAGAAATAAATTACTCCGTCCTACAGACCAACTGGAATTATGTAAAAGAAGAAGAAGAGACTATTTGGACTAGAAGGGATGTCAAGATGTCATCACACCGCGCCTATTCCAATCTAATGTCATTGGCTAAATAATGGCTAGGATGAGCTGCAGTTGAAGTAAACATGAAGTATAACATAAAGGTCCTGAACTTCGACCTATGACCTGGCCAGTGTCAAAGGTCAGCTGATGATGGGATGGCTTGGTCCCTGTTTCCATGGTGATACATTCTGTTGAAATAACATAAATATGAACATAAATTTGAGATGATTGGTGCAGATATTCATCCATGTCTATTCTGCATAATTTTGTACCAGCAAACATGTGCACATGTATTTCTATCAAGATGTATTAAAAGGTGATATAGAGAGAAGATAGAGAACAAGAGAGAAAGAGAGAGAGAGAGAGAGAGAGAGAATGTCCCTGCAACCTAAAAGTTTGTTATCTTCAATTCAACACAAATCTTGGATTTTCAATGGAAATATGCAAGTTATTTTTTTTTACAGGGCCTACAACTAATTCATCTTTTGCAGAAAATGTGCAAAGTAATGGATAGGAACAAATGTACACCTTAGCTAGTGCCTTAGAACTGAGGCGTGTTTCACAGAGCCTTTTTTTCAATGACAAATGACATAATTAGTGACAAATCTGCTGATAACCAATCAGAAGCAAGGATATCAGTAGCTTATAACAACAACTGTCATTTGTCACTGATGCCAAGTTTTGTGAAAAGGGTCCCAGGTGATAAAATGAATAAACGGAATTGATTACTGGATTAAGCAGGACAGCTACAATCACATGCAAACAACAAGCATTTAAATAAATTCAGGGTAAAACAAATAAATAAATGATCAAAGCAGGGATAAACAGATGCATTTTTTTGTTTGTTTCTGGTTGAAGCCAAGGGATAAATATTGACATGTATAACATTGTATGTTGACTTGCACACTCTTATCATATTACCAATTATGTTATTAATAATTAGTTTGTGAAGGGCAAGAAGTACAAGAATTGCCATATTGAGAATTAGTAATTGCCTTTTAGAAATAATTAATAACCTCATGCTCTCTGACATACCCATAGATATTGGGAGTTCTGGTAATAATGACGTTGATTGCAAACATTAACAGTACCTCTATCACAACCCTCAGTCTGTCAGAGGCTTGCTTGACATAGCAACAGTATTCTTTTTGAATTTCAAATAACAGGCAAGGTAATCATTAATAAAATTAATTTCAATAAAATGATGAAATGGGTCGATTTAACCCCCACCCTCTCTGAATGAAGTGTATTAAAGCAAGTACTGTACATGTATGTGATTAATGAGACACACCTGTCAGCACGAGTATGTTTTAAGATTGGTTGTATTGCTAGGTGGTACTACCGCGCCTTCTCCACCAGCCCCGCCCCTCTGAAGAGGTGGAGAGGTTGGTAGAACAGGTACACCATGGACCACCGCCCCTCTCTGATTGGTATACATCATAGTACGTTGTGTTGGAGAGCCTGGGGATGGACCATACGCCTCCATACGTTCCCCAGCGGTCAGATCTAAGGGTAACTTGTCCTTTCTGTGATGGGCTGCAGCTTCTTTATTCTTGAACATACGTCTCCACGATGGCCCACGTCTAAACTTCCCTAGTTCACCCTAGGGTCAGAGAAACATACTCACTCCGGTCATCTCAACCCAACCCAAGCTCTAAACTCAGACAACAATTCATGGCTGAAATTTCTGATCCATGTTTATTTCACATCATTGGTAATGTCATGTGACCAGGTCATGTGACCATCATTTTGCTCCATCAGCAACATTCCATGTGTTCACTACTCTTATTGTTTATTCATACAATGTATTTCATTTTGTATGATTCTTTACTAATTTTACCGTTTATGGTGGCTGTCCATACAAACCCACAACGATTTTTTATACAGCAACTAAATTCCTATTTTTTATCTGTCAACATTTTACTATTTTAATAATAATTATGTATAAGTAGTATTTCTTTTATATTTACTGTATGTTGATGTTACTGTTTTTATTATGGAATTGAATAAATGCTAAATTGAATGGAATATCACCATGTGTTTTTTTCATCTACATGTATCTATTTAATACATTCTCTACTCAATTATATGGATTTGTGACTAATATTTCCTGTTAAATATCTCTTTGTTTCCTCTTTCTTTCTTCATTTGTTGTTGTTGTTGTTTTGTTACTGTGTGTGTAGCAAGCTATTTAAATATTCCACAAGCTAATATATATATATATATATATATGTTATATTTGTGAGGATAGAGATTGGTTTATAACCAGGTTTATAAATTTTAAACAAGCAATGTACAAGAGCAGCAGAGTGAGTAGCCATTCATTGAAACTTTCTTTGCTTTCATTTACATGGACATACAGATATCCATGTCATCCTGAAGTTAAACTACCCTTTATAAACCTACACTCAAGTCTTAATTGTTATACAGTTCAATTTGAGGCGAGTTCCAAATCCACTGTGTAAGTTTTTACTTAGAAATGTTTCAAGAGCCAACTGAGTTCAATTTTAATTTTGCCTTTTCGTCCTCAAATCTGCACCAGTTTTTCCACTCTTAGTCTCAGTAAAATTTATAATCTTGTATGAATGAAAACGACTTAATTCAATAACATTTTACATTTTTATTTTAAAGTAAACATAGTAATTATCAAATAAACGCATTAACTATTGAAAGACTTTGACGATTATCTACGGTCAATTCTTAAATTACTAATGAACGGCACAATGTACTGCAGTAAAAGTGTCGTAATCGAATGGTTTAAGCACTTGACTTGAAATTCAAAAATCGCCACTATGTACATAAGAGATAGGAGACTGCAAACTTGCGATTAATTTGAGAACTTGCGATTGATTTGGATCAATCGCAACTCTCTGTATTTAAAGACGGTGCCCAGTACGCACTAATAAATTTAGAGTCCTCTCATAATAATAATTTGGATTTATATAGCGCTTAATACAGAATACCGTCTCTAAGTGCTTTACAGATGTTATAACCCCGGTCGTCTGATTCATTCACGCACAATGTGCACCATCTCCACTCCTTGGGGAGTATACCTACCAGATGGTCTACGTGAGGGCATAGGAAATTACCAACACAAATGCTTTTGTCATCTTACCGGGTCCCCAATTTTTCTTGGGTTTTGAGTGGCAAATGTGGATTAATGCCTTGCCAAAGGACATTAGTGCTGTGAAGGAAATCGCACCTAAAACTGTTCTAGTGGACATATAAATCTCTTGGTTTTGAACTAGTGTGTCTTTCTGCGGACCTGATTTTGCATGATCACAGTTTGCTGATTGGTTAAACCTGAATGCTAAGAAAGCATGAGTGTGCCTGTAAGAAAGGAACCGGGGGACTTATGGCTTTAATTCCTCTAGACCACTGCTCTACCACTGAGTCAGTGCACCTCCTCCTCCTCCTCCTCAGCAAAGCATTTTCAAACATAGCTGGTCTAGACAAAACTCCGGACGACGAGTAAGATAGCTCTCTATTAGATTTCGATCTCATCAAGTATTATCTGTAACAATATTAACCAGTCCACACTTTTGACTTGAGATGGATGAGGGATATAAACACAATATTACATTAGAGGGCGACAATCAGGATAAATAATAAACAGAAAAGGGCAGCAGATAAGCTAAAGAGGAATTAAAGCAGTATTTCTCAAACATGCATTTTTCTAAACAAGCTTCACAAATATATTTGATTGGCCTAAGCAGCTACTTGTATTTCATTTGAGGCACATCTTTTTGCATAGAAATTCATGGAATGTACATGTTTATAGGGCAGGATTAGATAGACATATTTTCTCTTTCTTTTATTATCTTTTAAATTTTGCCATGTTCAACAAATGCGAAGCACAGTATGAGGTGTATAAGTATGCCACAATTTCTGACTTTCTCTAATAATGATTAATATGCGAAACATTTGTAATGCTCAAATATGTGAAACAGACAAATTCATAGAGCAAAATTGAAACTGTCCGGAGTCTAAAATTTTAAATTGTCATTTACAATTCGCAAAGTTACGCTGTTTATTATATCTACCACACACATGTAAATTAATTAAGAATTTTTTAGGAGGTTGATATCGCAAATAAAACAAATTTGTGTCCATTTTACAGATGGAGTTGTTATGTAGGCTGATGTGTTGGTGCTTCATGTGCTATAGATCATAGTCTTCATGAATATCAGATCACCTAGTTAACCTATTATACAATTATTCTCTATTCTGTTTGATAAATTAATGGCGATTAAAAGCTGTGAGGACTCAAACTTGCATTCAACTATTTTCATATACATGTACTTCACTGATCTCTGAGAAGTGACTAAATTTTGTTAATAAGTGGCCCAAGCATTTTGTAGCGGTGTGTGCAGCGCTCTGTAACCGTAAGGGAAAGGTGCTATATCAAATGTTTTTTGATTGATTGATGTGCAATCTCATCAGCAAATTAATAAGTTGCTGTTGTTTGTGGTTCTGAAATCCTTCACTGCAATAAAGTTTGTTCTATGTGTCTTTATCTCCTTGTACCTGTTGTTGTTCAAGTTTCTGTTGTTCTTGTTATTGGTGTTGAAAATCTATTATTCAGTTCAGTTGAAAACATAATTTATTTTATGTTCACAAGAGCTTTTATAAAATCGTTTTCAACTGCAAATGTGTAATTTCAATACAACAAGTCTATTTTGTCATTGGGTTTTTTCCAGAGTTTTTATCGGTTCACTGAACTTTGTATGGACCAATAAAAGTCTATTTTTTCTTTGGGGCTTTCAAGAGTTGTTATGTTCACTGAACTGATAAATTAGAATGTAGATATATTATGTATGGACCAATAAAAGTCCATTTTGTCATTGGTTTTTTTCCAGAGTTGTTATGTTGACTGAACTGATAAATTTGAATGAATGTAGATACGTATGGATCAATGAAAGGGAGGCTATTACGTCCCTCATGCACTAGTTAATACACACTCTAAACTCTGCTCATGCAATGTTGCATCTGGAGACAAAACAACAAATAAATCAAACTGTGGTTCTACTAACAAACATAAACACAAGCGGTTATCAATGGATCAGAAAATTCAGCCAAAAACTCTATAATAATCAGTGTTATTCTTGTTATCAAAATCAAAATCACTGAAAATTAAATAATTCTGGTGGGGGTAAATAATTCATTTCAAAATAAATAATGTCATATCAAAGTTTATTATGAATAAAGGTAAAATAAGGCATGAAAATAAACAAGTTGATACAAAAAATAAGTAATGTCATATAAATGTACATTTCTTATAGATTTGTAAAATTAAAAATGCTATTAGAATGAGAATATCAGAGGGTTATATAAGGGTTATCTTCAAATTGTTAGCTCTTCCACAAATATAATATGATGATGATGAAAAAGTAATTACATTCTTCAAATATTACCTATTTCTTTCATTATTTTAAATGGTAGCAAGTCACACTCCCAATAGCAGAGATTACCTAACATATGAAGAGTTGTATAACACAAGCTCCGTGGTCTCTATCCTAAACTTCATACCAAACGTCTAAATTCATCCCTAGACCATAACATCTATAATCCTCACCCAACCTAAACCTAAATGTTGACACTAAAGCTAACCCCCGAATCTTCAACGAAACCAAGCCTGGAGATTTAGTCGCCAGAGCAAATGTCATCTATATCTCTCTTGATCCACAATTTTGGTTCTCATTTTTCATCATCCCTTTTATAGAGAACATCCTATTTAATCACCATGTCAATAGATGACCACCATCATCTCTATATCTCCATTGTATGAAATTGATTGAAATGATTATGTAATATCTGAACAATTCGCCCCTATTCTATGGTCAACCCTAACACCCAGATTGTTCATGTGCTTATGACTTTTGCTTTTCAAATTACTCTGAAACTATGCAAAAAGTCATCAGCTATCCTTACCACCCCCAGATTATCCCCAACAACATTTGAGACACTTTAACACACTCTAATGAAGCTTTGCCTTGCCTAATCCTCAAAGAGAACCATTCTCTGTAGTCTAATACAATTAATCAACCAACCAACCATTTACTAACCATCATATTTTCTTTGATCATGATTGTCTACTAGTTCTCTCTCCATAGCTAAATCCACTATTCTTTTCCTAGTGTGCCATCATTTTTTATTACCTCCACCCCATCTGATCACTCATCTAAACTATTGTTTTTAAAATGAAATTTGTTACCTCTTCCAATCTTCTCTCCGTCCCAACTGTCAGTAGGTTATTAAACTCCTGTTCCAGCGTGCTTCTCGCCTGTGTGTTCTGCGTTGGAATCTGTAGAGCTAAAGCAAGGGCGCTGATATCGTACGTCTCGTCGAGAGCGACAATGGCTCCATGAACGCCACTTTCTTTGAGGTTCGGGGCAAATTCTTTGAGTCCAATAGAACACACCCATTTTATAACTCTCTCATTGCTCCATACTAATGCATCTGAAAAACAAACACAAGAATACATTTAAAAGAGCTTTGCATAATCTGTTTTTTTATACTAAAACATCTGAAAAACAAATGCATAAATACATTCAAATAACCTTTCATAGTCTGATTGCATGAATACATTCAAATAACCTGCATGAGCAGATAAAGGTCATTGCAGACCAAATTGTAAAATACACGGAAACAAAATACTGGATACATGCTCATGAAAGTTATGTAATCCTTATTCATTCATGCAGTGCACTCCATAAAGGTGGAAGTATTCTTTAAAAAGGGGAAACAAAGGCTATTAATGTAGCACCTCCATCCCTGTAGGAGTGATTATTTCAAGTGGGACCTCTTCATGTTTTCAAGATCTGTGGATATTCGGGGTCGTTTGGAACATGAGCTAACCGTGAACTGGTCTATTATTGACATTTTCTGATAAATTATGAAATTTGTACATACACCTAGGAAGGTAGTCCAAAGGTTTATCTCCCAAAAGAACTAAATAAAATCGCGTTATATGTTTGTATATTTGTTGGATGAGGATAAGAAGTTGTTAATTCATCGTCACTTTTCACCCCGAGTACAGGAAGGCAACGCATAAGCCGCCGTGCTCACTGGGCTGTGGGTAGAAAATGAGGACTTGGTGCTATTAGGGAGCTGTGCGGTCTCGGAGGGGGATTAAGGGGATTATGGTTAGGGGAACCAAAAGATGCGTGGTGCCACAGATGACTTCTAAAGGGCCTCTGAGACGGTATCTCCATCCATCACAACTCCCTGGTACAAGGTTCAGATCTGCTTATGAAGAATACATGCATAGGATGTATATAAGGGTACCGGGTACATACATACAGTAGGGGATTCCCCTATCATACTGACCTTTGACCTCTAATGCACTCTCTTCTCTCCTCCTCTCTAATTCTTTCCTATCGTAGTTGACTTTTTTGAGACACAGTATACCGTACTGGAAGCTATTCCTGTTTGAAAAGAGATATATAGTATGGATCATGTTGAGACACTGTATAACTTTCTACTGGAAATGATTTATGTTCAGATCAACATAAAACTGTAGGAAGATGTAAGATGCTATCCATCACTGGTACAATCTCTGTCTTCATATACAAACTGACTCAGACTCAAAACTACATGTCTTAAAGATGGTGATGTTTTAAAGGTTGGTCCCTGACCGTTAATAATCATTGACTGACATCGGTAAAATCCCAATTACACACACTTATCATTAGTGCGCTTTCGCAAACACGACAGAAGGCAAAGAGGACGGTAACTTGAGATGAAAATCTATCTGCACATGCTCATCCCAAAACTGCTCTCCGTCGCCTTCCTAAACAGTCCAGTCCTCTGTTGATCTGACGTTCGGTCTCTTAAGACGACGTAGCACTAGCTAGCTGTGCGTAGATTGTATATAGATGTGTGTGAATGCCTGGTTATACTAAAAGCCAAATCAAACCGATAGTTGTCTCTCGTAAAATGGAAATCAGGATTGCTCAAAACATTTAGATCATACAAAGCATGAAACCTTCATCGTCCAAAATGTCTCTCTGATTTTACGTAGATTCGCCATGATTGTTGAGGTCATGACAAAATGTAGACAATAGAGGGATTTGGATATGGAATTTGCGTCGCAGTCGCCTTTAGCAGACAGCAAAAGCGCTTAAAAATCATGACGGTAACATGAGTGCGAGAACCGTGACAGCTGGTTAAATACTCCGTCCTCTTAGCTTCCGTCGTGTTTGCGAAAGCGCTCTATTACCTATTTGATTTTCACTATGTAACAGTGTAGCTAACTTATCGCTAGGGGCTACTAAAATCATATCACCCAAATTAAGCATACTGGGTACTTCCATCAAGTGTGAAAGGGGTGTCAAACCTATAACAAAACTATAATCATTGATATATTAATATACAGTCAAACCTGTCTATTGCGACCACCCAAGGGAAACACAGAAAGTGGTCTTTGTAGACATGTGGTCTAAAGCAGGTTTGACTGTACATCCCTAACCATAAATGATAAATGGTATGTCCAAAATTACATACATATTTTTCACTTGATTATTTTGTTAATATAACAAAAGAAATTGAATTGAGCTTAAATACCATCAGTAGTTTCCTAGACATTACAATTATTATTACCCCATACATCATCACCCACGATGAAAAATGGTATCACCCACATGCCAAACATTAAGTACATGTACACCCTTAGACCATACCATTCATTGTAAGAGGGGTGTTTTACCTATGGAAGCTGTCAACCATTTTGAGTTGTCCTCTGAGATCCTTCTTAGTAAGATGATCTAACATACGAGCATCCACCAGGCATTCCATGAAGACTGATCGATATTGAGGTAAGCCGATGCTCGTCAACCAGTCGTTCCCTATCCACTCATGGTTCATCTCACCAAACGCTAGGGTCTGTTCAATAGGATGGGGAGGGGGTGGGGGTGGAGAGGGTGGGCGGGACGGAGGAGGGTCAGTGAGAGTCTCATCAGACTGCTTGGCAGAATAATGTTTTTTTTTGTTTTTTTGGACAATAAAACAGAGAGAAGCAAGGTGCACAGTTAGTATACAAGAGGGCATGCAGCTAGCCTACCACCAATATATATATACATTCCCATTCAGCAAGAACAAAACAAAACAAGTTTTAATGCATTGGTAGATGTAATGTTTATTGAACAGTGGAAAATACAAGATCATAAGTGCCTTCAATCCTCTCTGACCAAAGTAACATTGTCAACATTTGAAACATGACATTATACATATACATGTACATGTATAATGTCAATGGTTCCTTATGTTACTTGGGAGTAGAGAAGACTGAATACACTCATAACTCCATTAGCCCACTGTTTTATATTCATTAGAGTCATCCTGTACACAAATACATCCAAATAATAAATACACCATACCATGCATCATTAGCTTGCAGTTTACATATCACAAAGAAATTGACCTGCATATATATACAAACATTTCCCGCTGAGGTGTTTTACTTTGTTAGAATATAAGATTTAGAAGGGAATATAACTTATATTACCCATAGTTTGTGACATAGTTTCCCAAAGGATAATGAATTATTGGCTTTCTTAGGACACCATCCGGCGCGACAAGTAAATATTAATATGTTCTGTATTGTCTTGAACATTGTATTCTAAGTCACTTTAAGCTCAGTGAGTGGAAATAAAATAAAAAGATTTCACCATGCAACATTAACATTAGCTACAAACAGAAATTGGAACATAAAGCAAGGAAGGATTGCAGCTTTGCAATCCTCTTTATGCATTGGTATAATATGGGAAGCTCCAGCTTTACACAAAACAAAACAAGTTTCAAATCATATTCAGAGCTACAAACATAACAAACATGTACAAATACCCCCACCCCCTTCCAATTCTATCAAATCTACAATTTTGAAACTTGTAAATGAATTATTATTACTATCATTATTCATTCAAAACAACCTTTTCTTTTTAACAGAAGACTTCAGGAGATAATGAATAATACTTCATTTTAAAATAGAAGCCTAAAATTTAGGTGATAAATTGTTGGTTTTCAGGCACATTTTCTTTTCACATGCAGGTATACAGTTTCAAACCAATAAAAACCATGTAATATTGTATGTAATATCAAGCTACAAGGTATAAGTCGACTGTTAAACTTGCAACAATCTGCACTATAACACATTCACCATGCAGGTATGACATTCACATGTGCTTCATTCTCATATGCAGGGATTAATATTACATTGACCGAGGAGATATATAATCAATGCATGTGCTAGTAGTATGTTAATCTTGTTTAAAGCTCCTTTAAAATGTTGGAATCCCCCAAAATTTGATGGCAAATTTCACTTAAACTGTATCATAATGCGAAAGAGGATGTCATTTTTAAGACACATTTCTGCAAGGATTTTCAAAACAAATGTGTTTGAAGTCAAATGTTGATGAAAGAATACAACAGAAAACCCAAATGATGTATACTTTTATCAATATTTGTCTTCAAACACATTTTTGGGGGAAATGTTTGCAACCTCCTAAATGACATCCTCTTAACATTATGACAAAGTTTTAGCGAAATTTTGCAATCAAATTTTGTGCGAATTGTTGGCTCCCAACACTTTAGAGGGGCTTTAATACCACATATGAATGGTGTCCTTTATAAACAATTGTCAGTTTTAAAATGCTTTAGTTGATAAAAAATAAATGATAAACCTCACAGTGACATATCTATATTCATGTGGCTTATTTATTTCGGAGTCCACTAATATTGAAATTTATTGTAATTCTTTCATTAAAAACTTGTTATGATTGCATAGAGTTTGCAAGGTCATATATGTGACGAGAGAATTTTTTTTTTCTTCCTTAGCCCAAATCGTGAGCCCACTCTACATACATAATGTCTAATGGAGTTATAGAAACAGAAAAACAATAAATGCTTTCTTTCCTTGCATCCATAATAGGAATGATGAAACAGATACCGAAATGATGAACAGGATTGCAAAATTATCTCCCAGAATTTGAATTCACCATATATATTTGCAAATTTGGCAGACTGGAGAATGGTTAAGAACAGCTGTTATTGATTTAAATGAAAGATATTATCATTTTAATTAACTTTACTCTACGATACTGATGAATTAAAAAGAAGAAAAATTACAAAAATTAAACAGTAATTTAACATTAATGACCTTGGGTATCTTTTTATTCTATTACATAGCATCTAATACTGTCTTCTTATGTTCATATTCTACTTTCAAGTAAGAATTTATTTTTTTATTTTTATAGAGTCAAGAAACTTAATGATACATGTATTTCTTTGATCATTATTGAACACTATATAACACCAGATAACATTCAGGAATTGTGAACGAAAACAGTAAGAAACTTTTGATGTAGCATGAAAATTCAATTTTGAATTCAAGCTAATTCTATGATTTGGCAAAATTTCCAAAATTTTGACCATTTGCAAAGTTCAGGAATGTTTGTTGTTTTCCACTCAAATTCAAATGAGTGTTTTGTTGAAGTTGATCCCTACACAAGTTTATTACTGGAATATAATAAAGTGGGCTGAAGTGCAGATTAAAGAAGTACATGTTGACTAAGCCCAAGGTTCGTTTCATTAACCCTTTAGCAAGTAAACCGCCCAAATCTGCCCCTCCCAGTTTTACTCACTAAACCGCCCAAAACCGCCCCTCCTTTTACTCACTGAGCCGCCCGTCCGTTTTCAACGCGCTAAATTATCCATTCTTGGGTCTACCGTGATAATGTTATACGTGCGTAATCCTTACAATGTCTACAGTGTGATTCTGCATAGAAAAATAGCGCATGTTTCATGTTGTTCAGAACAATGTAAACATGCTCTTCCAGTGAGTAATAGGCCATTTTTACAAAATCCTCTAGTTGCTAATGGGTTAAGAACGAAGAGAAGACAGATACTCACCGTCCTAGATGTGGGCGGGGCCGATGGACTAGTAAGACTAACCATCTCTTGAATAGCTAGTCTTAATTTTAGTCTGTGTAATGGATTACTGATTCCAATCTCCCTCTGTATCTCTGTATCTGACAGAGCAGACATGATGGCCCCACTTTTCACGTTAGCTCTACAGGCTGCTACATACCAAGCAGGCATGCCAACCCACAGCTCTAACCAAGCTACTACTGTGGGACCGTTCCACAGTGCAAACGGGGTCCCTGCTCTTATTGCTTCAGCTAACAACTCATGCCTGCAGACAAAGACAAAAATCAGAATGAGAAATACTTCCATTTATTTGACCGGTTCACAGCTCAAGCATGGAGATACAATGTAGTCACAAATACAGTCAAACCTGCTTTAGTGACCACCTGTCTACAAAGAACACCTGTCTACAACAAGCACATTTCATGTTTCCCTTGAAAATGGTTTCTCATTGAAACATGTACTAAAGGAACCTGTCTACAAAGACCACCTGTCTATAAAGACCACTTTTTTCCCTTGTTTCCCTTGGGCGGTCGCTGTAGACAGGTTTGACTGTATCAGAATAGTAATTAGTAAAAACATTTGTCTTGTACAATGTATCTCCTGCTAACAAAAACTATGTGTACGATATCTAAGAAGGACTTTGAACAAATAAATATGGCTTGACTCGAAGTATGTTTCATTGAAGAAAATGATAATGTTTACCAGAAAATAAGTGAGTTAGTAGTATCAGAACATCTTTCTCATATCTCGTACTCTCTTAAGAATCTGTTAATTGTTATTATAATCATAATTGAATGACTTACTTCTTTTTCTTTCTCCTATCTTGCTCTCTCTGACCAGCTACTCCAGGAGTCATTGAATCTTGGGAAGATGAATCATCTTGGAAATGAGCTAAGGAAAAGAAAAAAAGATTAAAAATGCAAGCATTGATTCCAATCATTACCAGTACTTTGTCTACAGATTTGTTCATCAATTCATATCATAATAATAATAATAATATTCCGCTTTTATACAGTGCGTCCAAGAAAAAACGATGCGTTAAATATGCATCATATGAGTTGCATCAAATGGAAGAGGATCAAAGCTTTACAAATATGTGTCATTCATTAATTATAATTGTGATTAAGTTATGATAAAAACATCGATAATTCTCGGTTTCGTTTTTCTCGGACGCACTTTATAGCGCTTAATACATTCTATGATGTCTCTAAGCGCTTAACAGATATACTTTTACCCCGGTCACTAGATTCAATACTTGCCCGCACATACTGTATGTACAATCTCTGTTATAGGAATTCCTATTCAGCCAAATTCTATTTTCATTCGCCAGAGAATACAGAACTACTCTTTTTTTTTATAAGTTTTTATGTTACAAATCAAATTAGGTTGATATCTAGTCTTTTACATTATATCTCTTTAATCAATGTTCTTCTTATAAATCATATATACGACAGTTCACTCTCTAAACCTTATCTTAATTAAAGATTTAAAGAAAAAGAGATTTCAACAGAGAAATTGTAAGAACATATTTGGCAAACACCTGACCTTTTGGATAAGCGTACTTCCCCCAAACAAATGTGTGATTTATAAGCTAGTGAAATCCTTGCTTCTGATTGGAAATCAGCAGATCTAAATTGTTCTACCATAAGAAATGAAAATTGTTTTCAAATCACTGCAAACCCTTCAAAAATAAGAACAAATAAACAGATAATAACATCATGCAGTCAAAATCTTTGCACAGGCAAAATGATTGCTACGGGAGCACATGATTTTATACCCTGTTGAATGAAGTATGATTCAAATGGATCATTATATGGCCCATATTTTCCTATTTAATGTCCTCACTTTGTCATGCTTTTATCATAGATGAGTGCACCAGGCCTGGTTGAATTTAAAAACAGTGTAAATGTACTTTCATTTTAAGTATGAGTTGTGAATAAATCCTTTCAAAACAAACACCGTCACTCTTCTATAAACATGAATGAAAAGGGAAACAAATAATAAAGAAATAAATGATAGACTTTCAACTGCAAACCAGGCATTCACTATCCATTACATGAACTGACTTCACAGACAATGTGTAAACCTACATCTAAAGGGATTTAAAAAAAGAAGGCAGTAACTTCCTGACAATGATGATGTCTTAGATTAGCCAAAGGTCTTTAAAAATTGTGTCTTTTATCAAAATAAAGAACATATTTAATGCGTTGTATGAAGTGTAGTACACAAGAGTGCTATTTACAGACATGTTTTTAGACCCAGGAAATATAATAGATGTTCATGCCAAGCTTGTCAAGTGTCCTAGCCAACAAGAATACGGATAGTTAAAAGATATTACAGTGGACTTGTATCAAATTATACGTAGGCCTATTTATGATGTTTTAGGAAAATCTTTTCAAATGAAATAACAGCTATGTTAGCAAACCAAGTCAGGGAAACATTCTAATGGATTTGTATGAACTCAGTAATGTTAGCACACCTAGTCAGGGAAATGTTCTAATTGATTTGTATGAACACAGTCATATTAGCACACCTAGTCAGGGAAATGTTCTAATTGATTTGTATGAACACAGTCATATTAGCACACCTAGTCAGGGAAATGTTCTAATTGATTTGTATGAACACAGTCATGTTAGTAGATAGAGTGCAAGCTAGATATACCTTGATAGAGATTCCATATAAGCAATGCTAATGAAGGATACGTTAGGGTAAGGGGTTTGAAGGGAAAGAAAGAAAATCAGTACTAAAACCTTAATTTAACGTGATGATAGAAGTCCAGATTACATCGTTAAAGAGAGATCTTAGTTTTAAAGCCTGTCTGCACTAGTTTGGCCAGGGTGGATTAGACCTCCCTGCAAGGTCACTGACAGGTGGTCACCTCATCAAATCAGCTCTCAATTAACATAAGAAAAAGGGAACCATGGGGACCAACAGGCACCGATTAGGCATTGTTTGCTATATAGAGGGCGAAAGTAGCTATAAGTAGTGCAGTGGGGCTTTAAAAGTATTTTTCTACACCCCTTCAGTGCAATAGGCTGTTCATTAATCTCGCCTGATGAATCAGACTTGACCCAGTGTCGCCTATCCACTCAGTCAATCTAGTCTAACATTTCATTCATTTGGGTACATTTAGCAGACATGTTAAAGAGCTAGTGTTATCAAGTGCAACTATCAACTATGACTAATACATGTAATTATAAGAGCTGTAGCTACGGGTATTACCAAAACATGATAAGTGCAGAGTGAAGGAAAGCCATGGAGATTATAACTTAGAGTGAGGAAAAAATTGTGATCTTAAATCTTTTGATATTCATGAGAAATGTTAACTCGTAACAACAACAACAACAACAAAAAAATTGATTATAAGATGATGGTGATAATGATGATGGTGATGATGATGATGGTGATGATGATGATGGTGATAATGATGATGATGGTGGTGATGATGATGGTAATGGTGATGATAATGGTAGTGATGATGATGATGGTGGTGATGATGATGATTATGATAATGATGATGATAATGATGATGATAATGATGGTGATAATGATGATGATGGTGGTGGTGATGATGGTAATGGTGATGATAATGGTAGTGATGATGATGATGGTGGTGATGATGATTATGATAATGATGATGATAATGATGATGATAATGATGGTGATAATGATGATGATGGTGGTGGTGGTGATGATGATGATGATGGTGATGATGATGATGATGGTGATGATAATGGTAGTGATGATGATGGTGATGATGATGATGATGGTGGTGATGATGATGATGATGGTGACGATGATGATGATGATGGTGATGATGATGATGGTGATGATGGTGATGGTGATGATGATGACGGTGATGATGATGACGGTGATGATTTTGATAATGATGATGATGATGATAATGATGATGATGATGGTGATGATGATGATGATGGTGGTAGTAAAGATGATGATGATGGTGATGATGATGATGATGGTGGTAGTGGTGATGGTGTTGAATGTGATGATGGTAGTGATGATGACCGATGAGGACAATTGAAGTGAGGAACATGGTATATAGATCTGAATAATCATCCAGGTATTTCTTCTTAAACTGACCATAACATGACCTTTGACCAAGGTCATGATTCGACCTACCTTTATCAGGATGTTCTCTCCCTCTTCTACCAGGTTTCTCCTTCTTTCCAAAGATCCTCCCTAGAGAGCCCTTGATACCAGATGCTTCTTTCTTCTTTAAGTTCTTATTGAGTGAGTCTTGTGAGCTGTTAGCGCTGCTATGAGGGCTGGGTGTACTATTACTCTCCATAGAGTTTCTGCTAAAAGCAATACATGATATTAAAAACAACTTCAACAATCAATCACCATGCATTTTAACACTTGAACAAATAACAAGTGATTCATACCATACAAAGTATCCTATTAACAGCTTATTCTCCATATGCTCATGATTGTTAATGTGAGCAAAGAAGATCAACTTTATTTTAATTCCCCTTACCCAAAACCTCCCTGCATACTTAAGCTGTAGTAATAGACCATTTTGTAGTTAGCACATGGGTCAAATGACCCCAAATATCCACTGATCTTTTACTCATGGAGAAGTCCCACTTTGTGTATTTTAGAATAATCAATGCCAAAGTCATGTATGTGCTTCATGAAAAGCTTTTGTTTGCCCTCATGTATCACAGAATGTACCGTAGGTGCACACATGAATAATGATTACATAACATAAGCACGTGTTCATCTCGGTGGGTTTTACTATTTTGTCACAAATGACCTTTATCTGCCCATGCACAGATAGTATTTACGAAATGGCTATTGTTTCCCTCCTTGAGTTTCAGAGGTGACAAGAGGTTTTCTAGAATTAAATTCCCCATTTTGTAATAAATCAACATACTGCTAAGCATTTTAGTGGTTAATATAAACCACTAGATTTCAGTGTGATGCATGTATGTATAAAGTAAAGATATGATTAATTGGAGCTCCTTTCAGATAATTACACTAATTCATCTGCGATTATAAATAACAACATTTAACTAAAGTTTCTTTGAAATAAGTAAAACAAAATGAGACATAATTAAGTCCAAGCAACTATGTCCTGTATGTTACTTACCATATCAAAGATATTATTACATCAGGGGGGTGTTTCACAAAGACTAAGATCGACATAAGTTGGACTTGAACTATGGCAGGCCGTTCATACCACTAGTTCCTCTAACCATTTCTGACATTGGTTTCTCAAGGGGCATACAAATTGTGGTCACAAATCTACAGAATTAACATTTTTTGATAGTTCATTATTGAAGGAAATAATATTATCCATTCTGTAGATTTGTGGTGTACCTAGAGATAACCATGGTGAGAGCAACACGTGGCATGAATGGGCTGCCATAGTTCACGTCTAACAGTTCAAGTTCAATTCAGTTCAGTTCAATTCAGTTCAATTCAGTTCAACTCAGTTCAACTCAGTTCAGTTCAATTCAGTTCAGTTCGGTTCAGTTCAGTTCAGTTCAGTTCAATTTGGTTCAATTCAGTTCAATTCAGTTCAGTTCAATTCAGTTCAGTTCGGTTCAGTTCAAGTTCAGTTCAGTTCAAGTCAATCTTAATCCCTATGAAACACCCCCTTGATCATTGTATGAAGTTAACACCACTTCTATGAACTTAGATTAGAGTAACTAATACAGTGTCACTCTTTGTGCAGAAGGATACAATACTTGGTAAGTTATGTGACCTGCCCTTTAGTTGAAGTATTATGTTTACCTTCTCTGTTCATTTTGACTAGTGACCTGCCCTTTAGTTGGAGTATTATGTTTACCTTCTCTGTTCATTTTGACTAGTGACCTGCCCTTTAGTTGGAGTATTATGTTTACCTTCTCTGTTCATTTTGACTAGTGACCTGCTCTTTAGTTGAAGTATTATGTTTACCTTCTCTGTTCATTTTGACTAGTGACCTGCTCTCTTTAGTTGAAGTATTATGTTTACCTTCTCTGTTCATTTTGACTAGCTTGAGCGGTTATAGCTGCAGCCATTTTCTGTAGCTGTTGAGATCTCGGTGACATGGGCGGGCTTGGTTCACATCGAATAGGTCTCACTTCAGCCGTCTCCTTCTCCTTTGTGATTGGCTGAAAGAAGACAAAGAAAGTATTGTGATTGGTTGAAAGAAGACAAAGTATTGTGATTGGCTGAAAGACAAACAAAGTATTGTGATTGGCTGAAAAAAAGACAAATATAGTTTATAGAAATATAATAAAGAAACTTACCATAAAACTATAGAACATGGACATGAAGGTCATTTTATTTTGTAAGCTGACTGAAATTAGAGGATTGTTTAGAACCTTTGCAATCTACTATTTGATGGATAAAAAAATCAAACTGGCTTTTCATTGTACTGTTTGCCAAGGGAACCTTTTTCTATAACTTTTGTTAAAGCAATGAATGTAAATCTTTGAATATCATCATCTGACATCTCAATCTAATCACCACATCATATGAAAGAATGGAGCAATATCTCACTTTTACCTGTATCTTTTTGGCATTTATTAAGGACTACCGGTATAGTTAGAATAACAGAGGGTGAAATAACTCTAAGAGACATCTCCCAGAGTGTTTTAGGCAGTATTTATCTAGGACTCATGAAATCAATGTCATCATTGTGTTATTGTCTGTTGAGACTCAGGAGGGTATTTAATAACATCCTTCACAAGTTAAACCCTTCTGGCTTTCAACAGACGGTCTTTCAGTTGGAACTGTGACATTCGCTCCAGTGACAATTACTTTAGGTTTCATTTCATTAAGAGTATGAGGTTGGGGACTTGGGGTAAGGGTTGCAATGGTGTTTAGGTAATGTTTATGATAAGGGTTAGGTACAGTGTTACCCTTTTCACATCTACCAAATATTGCTTAACCCCGGGAAATAGGTGGGGCTAAGGGGGCTCTTAGCCCCACCAATTCCTTCCTTAGCCCCACCAATTACCCGGGGTAATTTTAGCCGGCTTTCTGTTCACATTACGTTTTGCCAAAGTGGGCTAACCCCACAAATAGTACGGGACTATCTGGCCCTGCAAAATAGCAGGGTTAGCCGGGCAATTGCGGGGTTAGCCGGGCAATTGTGGTGCTAAGCTGCGTAGTGTGAATCCGAACCGGGCTAAGGAGAAGCGGGGCTAAGCAACAGCCAATCACAGACAGCGTGGTCGTGTGGTCGTGAATTTGCATTTATCGCGCGCTATGCATGCAGTTCACGTTACGCATGCATGCAGTTCACGTTACGCATGCATGCTCTCTGTATTGACGTTTAGTCTTTTACGAGGCAGAGGTCATTATGAAAAAATCTTTATTATAAAATTGATTTAAAAAAATAGTGAAAGAACATGTAGCTCATAATTTTTTATTGCATTTATCATTATCAGTCATATTTACGTAGGTAAATTTATCAAGTGAATTGGATGAAAAATGGGTAATTGATTTGTATCGGTAAAATAATAAAGGGAAAACGCTTTGCGCAAGGCCTAGAACTACTTCCAATTCCGATCGATCGGAATTGAATTTATATTTATATTGAATTTAGCGCGCGGGTTTTTCCCCTTCATTTAGTCGAAAGGCGCATGCGCGGTAGCAAAAGCATTAATATTCATGAGCTATCGAATAGTCCGGGGCTAAGGCGAACGTAGTGTGAATCGCGTGAAATTTCTTAACCCCGGCTAAGCACATAGTCCGGGGTTAAGAAAATAGATGTGAACAGCAAAAAAAATAGTATGGGGTTAAGGATAGTCCGGGGTTAAGAAAAATAGATGTGAAAAGGGTATGTGAGGACCAAGGTTGAAGTTAGGAATGTGGTTCTAACCTAAAAGAGTAATTGTCACAGGAGCAAAGTCTTGTTGTACATTCATATAGAGAACTGATCATGCTAGCGATCATATATTGTTAATCAAAACATCTATATCATTGAGGAGACAAATACAATGCAATCAGTTAGACACTTTACTGTACAAGCATTCCCAGTTACATGGATACTTCATTCATATTATCTAAACAAAGACACTTCATATATGGACATTTAGGAATAGGAGAATGCGCTCACTGCTTAGTAATAGGAGAATGCATTCACTGTTTAGTAATAGGAGAATGCATTCACCGTTTAGTAATAGAATTCATTCATTGTTTACTAATAGGAGAATGCATTACTGTTTAGTAATAGCAGAATCCATTCACTGTTTAGTAACAGGAGAATGCATTCACTGTTTAGTAAAAGAAGAATGCATTCACTGTTTAGTAATAACAGAATGCATTCACTGTTTAGTAATAGGAGAATTCATTCACTGTTTTTGACACACCATTCACACAATTCTTTGACTATGGAGAATATAATTCACAGTCTAAGCATAAAAGAGGGTTTGGAATACAAACAATGTGTAATCTAATTCCAGATGAAGAACACATTATTCATGAAATCACACTGGGAAAATGCAAATGGAATAGTATGCATGGTTGAATTATATTGATTAAGACACAACTGGTTTCACTTAATAGTCCTCCTATAAGGAGACACCTAGGGTCAACATCACTCTGTTCACCTACTAAACAAATTGGATCAGGTTATGAAAGGAAAATATCCCAAATAATTTGAGTATCAACAAGAATTTTGCTTGTTTATTCCACTACAGAATTATGGTATTATTATGGAATGGTGTTCTATAATCTGTGGACTTCATATACTTATTGAGTCAGGGTTAAAACTAGGAATAATTAATACTAGCCCTTCTATCTAACAGTATCTAAAATTTTAAAAGTGAAGAATTATTACTTTTGACAAACTTCAAATTTGCCCCCCCCCCCCAAAGAGCATTTGTAACATTTATGTTTACCGGTATGTACAGGACTGATAACAAATTGATTGTGGGATACAGGCACTGAGGAATTAAACATTTATGACAATTAATGGTATCTGTGTTTCTGTTTTTTATAGTCACTCTAAACTCATATCTATCATTGATCAAGAATGTTGCAGTCTGCACTCTTCCAGTAAAAATTATGTCCAAATAGCTTTTTTTCCCCCCAATTCATTGCACCTTTTCTCTCCAAGTTCCTTTCCACCTGTTCTTACTTCCAAAGGCCAAACCCATATAACCTTAACGTTCCAACATAGTACTAATGGGGAGGGAACGGGAAGGGGGGGAACTCAAAGAAAGGAAAGGGTCCTAATCAGGGAAACACAGGTTTGGGGTGTATAATAATTCAAACTAGAAAAGTTAATCAGTGAGTGTAAAGCTACGATCACAAACGATAATCGTACGAACGATAATTTCGTACGAATCTCCGTTTTTCCATTGTCTTCCTGAATTTCTATTGTCTGAAAATCGTTCGTACAGCGTTCGTAGCAGTTCGTAATGGCATTTGTGACCGAGGCTTAAAGATTACTAAGATCACAGGGTACAAAGGAATTCCACTGAATCCAAGGAAAATGTTCAAATGAGTCAATCAATGATGATTTTTGTTCTCACAATTTAACTGAGTTGAACATTCATTGAATCTACCATATCATTGTTTTGATCGTAATTAAGAAAACCAATGTAATCATTAAAATCAAATACCAGAATTAACCTTCTTCCTATATTAATACAATGCTTATGCTACTCCATTTGAGTGTAGGCCTACTATTCAGAACAGTGTTCAACAGACACAAAGGACATGACAGACAGGGTATTTGTGGAATAAGGGGGTTTTCTTCTGGAGTTGGTCAGAAGGTGTTCCCTGAACAATGATTGCCTACTGTTCAATGATTGATTGCATGTTGCGATTGAATGCATTTTGTGTTTAAAGCTCAATGTGAAATGGACTATGTTGAGGTACATGTATGTATCACACAAAGATCAGTTATACTACAGTCCAATAAATGCTTCAGTTATATACCAGGGCCTGTATTCAATTCAATACTCAAGTACAACATTTAAGCTTTTTACTTAGTATTTGGCTTAGATAAAATACTTAGCCAATTTTGGTATTCAATTCACACTTTTGGCTGAGTATTTTACTTTCAATCTAAGCCAACTGCATACCAGACTAAAGCCAATTATTTGGTGGCCTTGATTGGCAGGCATACATGGTTTTCTTACGCAGTATTATATCCTGTGCACAATTATATCAGCGCGCATTTATTGCAGTGCATCAATTGCGCCTTACTTTTGATTGACCATGTGACGTCACAATGTTTATCAGTAAGTATTTTACTTAGATTTTGTCTTATGTAAATATAACTTTAAAATGCGATTTGAATACGAGATAAGTAAATTACTTAACTTAGCCATTTACTTAGTAAAATTCTTACTTATGCTAAGTATTGAATTGAATACCGGCCCAGGGACCCGTCTTAGAAAAAAGCAACTTATTTGCGATTGATATCAATTGCAACTATGTACATAAGAGATATGAGACTGCAAACTTGGGATTGGAAAGAGGACTTGCGATTGATTTGGACTAATCGCAACTCTTCATAAGAAAGGGCCCAGGATACATAAAATACATTTGGATTAGATGAGGGGCTTTTGAAATGAAAAAAGTATGGAGTAAATACAATCAACTTGGTGACATACATTTAGGAGAGATATGAGTTGGTACACTTACATGTAGATAACATTATACATATACAAGAAAATACTCACACAATAAAGCAATGTAGGCATGAATTGTATGTTGACAAGTTTGCATTCAAGAAAACAAAAATGGAGAAACATATTTCAGCTTCAGAGCTAATTTAACGGTTAAGTACTCCACTTTTTAATTTTTATGTGGAAAAGCTATAAAAGACAAGAATGAGCTAATGAAATTCTACTGGAGCTTTTGAGACTTTTTTTCAGGAAAGTTGTTTTGTATTGAAACACCCAAATTATCCCCCTAACTAGATGAAGATGAATAGAAACCGCCCTATGGCTAAATGATGCATGAATGAGATGCTCCATGCTATACCCTTGTACAAATATCAAGATGAGACTGGAATGAAGAATAACGTGCCAGTTTAGTGATCTCAGAAAGCTGAAAGATGGATAGAATTCTTTCTTGGATTAAATGATGACAAAAAATAAATTTAGGAAATAAAACCTTGAAATTGAGTGTTCTAGGTTCCCAAACGGCGTCACTCTGTAAAGCAAACAATTATACAGGACTCAATATAAACTCATCTTAAGAAATCAAATCATACATGTTGGTCCAACCTTCATCAATCTCATTATTTAACAGAATTCAATGTTAACCTAGCATAAGCAAAACAACTTTTTTTTAAACATGAACTAAAATTAAACCCACTACATTGTACAATTGTGTTATGAGTGGAAATGAAATCACATCAAACCTTTGCTTCACATCTAAATGCAGAACTTTGACAACTACTTTAAAAGAAGAAGGTTTCAAGGACGGAGGTAGTTTTTAAAGGCAGATAAGACTGTCTGGATTTGAGTGAATGTTTGATTCACCTGTTAATAAGTTAGAATAAAATACTTTGACATTTTGATTCATTCCTTATATCAATTAATCATGTATATATCCACAAAGCAAGAAGCATATTAATATATCTAATATTTCTTGGATACAATTTAAAAACATATCATCATGCTGTAAATGGGATAAACAAAGAATATCTAGATGTATTAGTTATACAAAAATTATATATTTATTGGATGAAGACAGAGTTAATTTTTCTTACATTCGTACACACTGAATATATAAAAACACAGAAACATATGGATAATGAGGGAGGGGGGAACATTAACAAAAGAAAGTTAGAGAAACTGGTTTCAACCCACGTAGAACGACATGTATCAGTATATTTTCAATTACATTTAAATCAACAAAATGAGAAAGAAAGAAAGGAAGAGAAAGAGTATCCCAAACACACACAGGTCAAGGGTTAAGGATGCAGACAAAAAGAAATCATGAAAATCAATATCAAAGACTGATCAGTATTGAAAGTAATGCAAAGTTAGTATAAGTAGGAGACATATGCATCTTAATAAAGTTATTGATATGTATCCATTCAATCTATACACTTGCCGTATCGAAGAATTATATCGGACTGCTCTAGCCTGACAGCTTTGATCAATTAAAGTCATGTATACTAACATAATATTAGTTTCTTGTATAGTGCTCATATCTGTCATATTTGTCACTCCTGGCGCTCCGCAATTATATCCCTGGCTTTAGCACGGCTGCCATTACAGCGCTCTAGCATTTCAAGCAATTAATTCCTGCCAGGTACCCATTTACATCACCTGGGTCTAGTGTGGCAAATGTAGATTAATGTCTTGCCAAAGGATGTTAGAGCCGTGGCGGGACTCAAACCACGGACCTTGTGATCCACAGTCCGGTGACATATCCACTCAACCACACCTCTACAGATATGTTTTCAAATTGTTTTCTTGATAGTGGTGGTTGATTACTGTATCTTCTCAATCCCATACAGGGAACACCTGAGACCTGTTTCACAAAGCCACTTTTCAATGACAAATGACAAAAATGTAAGACAAATCTGCCGTTAACCAATCAGAAGTAAGGATTTCATTAGCTTATACCAAAATCTGTCATTTGTCACCGATGACAAGTTTTGTGAAATGGGACCCTGGCTTAGACAGGCAATGGGTCAATAGCAGATATCACAAAGGTCTATCCACAGAATTCATAGTTTGCTGTGCATACAATGGGTGTCTACCAGTGAGAATTATTTCTAAATGTTACAGATAGAAGAATATATAAAGAATAAACTGAAAACAACCATGGATTCAATTGAAGTTCCGATGTAGCCAATATAATAGGTATATTGTGAATAAATTGAAGAGATCTCAGTAAAACATTTATTTGTTTTTAAAAAAATGACACTGTTGACCAGCAAACTAAAAAGAAATCTCACATTAATATGATTCAGAAGAGACACTCGGGATCACATTTTACTTTTCTTTCCATTTGTGTCCTAATATTATTTCTTTCCATCCACAACACTTCAAATTTATTCAAAATCTTATAAGAAGCATCGTGATTGGTTTATCTGTGTGTTATACTATTGACAGAATGAACACAGTTGACTAGACAGTCATGCAATCACAAGTCTACACAGAGGCATGCAACGAGAGATAGGTAGACAGATAGTATGAATGGATATATCACAGGGAAGAAGGGGTGGATACAACCAGGCAAAGATGCATCATGATAACCTGTTACCACAGCAACTTGACTTTCCTAATCATTCTGATATATCACCATCTTTAACCATAATTCCATCACTATCTATTTTATATATTTAAAAAGTGGTTGTTATTAATATTCTTAGGCTTGGATTCATAATCATAATTACATTAAAATTCATAGATATACATATACTATAACTGGGACCATTCTGAAAATTCTGGGAATAAACATCCTTAATAAGACAATCGACCAGGATGACACTGTAACCATATATAAATAATGGAAATTCTAATTATCCTTTTAAGTTTACTGAGGAAGATATGGATTCATTAGATTGACTAATTTAATTATTTCTTCACCAAACCACAGGCTATCAAATAAAATCCTTGAGGTTTTGGTTTTGGTGAAAGAAAGTCTTCTTGGGCATTATCATTCTAACATTCTAACATGACGGTTAAAACCAACCAATGAGCTTAGTTTTACTCAGAAAAATATTCATAAACTGTATTTTATATAAACCACACAGTGTATTTCAATCAATTGATTTTTTTTTAAATTAAATCACTTTCTACAATTTCAATTTGTTTTAATTCAGGTTTACATATTAGTAATTACAAGATGATTTCAGAAAAAAAATATATTTCAAGCAAACAGGTACAAGGGAGTGGCTTAGCAGGGTGATTGCCATGGTAACAGGTACAAGGTAGTGGCTTAGCAGGGTGGTTGTCATGGTAACAAGTCAATGAAGGTGGGGCTATCAATGGGGAACATAATGCAACAGATGCATTCTATACCTTCTGCCAATATTGAAGCTCCGATTCTGAGAGGGACATAGAACGATTGTGCACATATTTGGGCTGTGTCACAGGAAGGAGAAAGTAGCAGGATTTGAGAAAGCAAGAAAACAAGAGAAAAGGAGAGCAACAGCGGAAGACGGAGAGAAAGAGAGAGGGAGAGAGAGAGAGAGAGAAAGAGACAGAGAGACAGAGACAGAGAAGGAAGGGGGAAGTATGGGGGTAAAAAGTGAAGAAATATAGTTTTGAAACGCACAAGAATTTTGTTCAAGGGTGAAAAAAGTGTGAATACTGCAAAATGAATAATAAATAAAACAAAAGTAAATAAAGACAATCGTGTGCATTTAGCGCTAGCCTTGGCTGGAGATATAGGGAAAGTATGACAGGAGGATGTTTCTAAAAACTTCTTAATTTTAAAGTTAGATTTAGAGAACTGCCTATTCAGCAAGTAAATTATTTTGATTTGATTTGATTAATTTATTTCTGTTTGAATCACAATTTAAAGCGTTTATCCAAAAGTCTTTTCCTCCCCATTTTCAAATGAATGAATTCTTATCTAATTTGTAAGCTTTTATTGTAAGCAGAAATAGCCATTGCAACAAGTCATTAATATTTCATATTTGTCAGAAATAAAAAATTAAAAAATAAATAAAGAATAAACATTGTGCATATTCTACTGCTTATCTATTTTAGTGCAGTGCAGTGAATGCCAGCCAGCCAGCATTTTACTATTATTTGTGCAAACATTACTTACTATTGTCTATGAATGAAAGATAATAATTACAGCAATTTTAACAAAACTGAATCAACCACAAGATTTAAGCTCCTTGACATAACATTAATTGACATTATTTGGCATGAAAAACAAGTGACTAACAAACACACACATTACTGTGAGCCTTACACCAGAAACAAAAACCCATCAATGTCGCAAAGTTTGGTAATCAGACCCAAACTTGATTCTTCCTTATATCTCTTTTAATATTTGTTAACTTAAAAGCCACATCATCACTTGGAAGTTGTAGAAAAACCAATGTTACATAATTAGATGTATTACAATTAATGAACCTCACACACAGCATCCAGGGTTGAATAGAGAAGAGGGTTAAGAAGAAAAAGTCAGATCTCGAAAAGATTTTAATAAGAGGTTGAAAAATCTTTAATTCATCATATCCTTTCACAGCACAAACTCAACTCCTAATTTTATCTCACAGAGAAAGTTGATCAATCCAAATTAGTTGAAAGTCCTTCAATTAAAGCACAACGTTGCATAACCCATCTCTTATATTTAAAATTGCAATTAATACAAATCAAATGTTTAGTTGCAATCAATCCAATCAATGGCAACTCCGTAAATTCTTTTGCAAACAAACAATGTTAACAAGACTACTCACCCTTGATGCAATATCATCCACGTCGCTGTCGTATCCTCTTTCCCGTACACCATAAACAGCGCCCCCTAGTGACGATATATGTGGTTGGCTAGCGCTATGTTTATAGTGACTGGTAAGAGGTGATGCGGGTTCAGCTTGGTGGATTCTTCTGACGGTGACCGGCGTAGAGTCCGCGCTCTGAGGGGGGGATTTATTCTCCCCTGTACGAGGCTGAGGTGGAGCTTGATCAGCCGTTGTCATCATTAACATACTCCCTGTACAGACAAACAAAGAGATTATTCCCATTGATTCTGCCCTCATCTTCGACTCAGATAGTATAGTATCATATCCCACTCTCACTACATACCTGGTAGTGATATGAGACTATGTGATCCTCCATACAACCATTTTGCCCTCATCTTCGACTCAAATAGTATAGTATCATATCCCCCTCAGACAGTATAGTACCATATTATCCCACTCTCACTACATACCTGGTAGTGATATCAGACTATGTGAACCTTTATACAACAATTCTGCCCTCATCTTCGACTCAGACAGTAAAGTATCATTTCCCACTCAGACAGTATAGTATCATATCCCCCTCTCACTACATACCTGGTAGTGATATCAGACTATGTGAACCTTCATACAACCATTTTGCCCTCATCTTCGACTTAGACAGTATAGTATCTTATATTCCACATACTAAAAATCTTGCTCTACGATTGGTCAAAAGTAAATCATGTGATGAAAAATAGTTCGCCCATCATTGCTGGGAGAAGCAAAAAGTTTGTTACACTGTGTAGATAGTAGTACTATCTACACAGGGCAACGCACTTTCACGGAAGATAGAAGTCCTATCTACACAGGGAAACGCACTTTAATAATTTTTGTATACGCTGCGTATTGCTCTCCTCTTTAAGCGCTTTTAGTGTTAGTACGTACGCGAACTTTGGTCACCCGCTAACTATAATACGGTCACACCACCATACTGCATGCACTGTACGTATCGTAAACTGTTTGCTAGCTGTTAATTGATGACTTGTTGCTCTAAAATGACAGACGATGGCAAACTATCACTTCCTCGGCAATCTAAATGTATACGCTATCTTTCCTCAGCTTCGCTTCGGAAAGATAGCTAAATCCAGATCGCCTCGGAAGTGATAGTTTGTCCCATCACCTTCACCAACGGTAATTATTTGCTTAATATCCCGCTCTCACTACATACCTGGTAATGATCTTGTAAGTGACCTAGGTTCAGGGTTCCAGTATCGATGACTAGGGGAAGTCCCATATATATCAATATTATCAACGCTCCCTACCCGATGCTCTAACTCTTCAGCTCTTTGCTCAGTGCTAAATTTCTCTTCTTGTATTAGTCTGTAGAGAAAAACACAAAATCATGATTGAAAGAACTTTGACATTTTTAACAATACAAGTCTGGTGTAATGACCAAATTTCTCATCTTCAAGATTTAAAGTTTTTTGTTTGTGATATCACCAAACTTTTTTTTGAATTTTAATAAGACTGAATGAATAAAAGTCAAAATGAACTGTAAACTTCTTTTGTGTGAGAATATATTAAATTTCTTGATGAAAAGATATACTGATAGTAGTCACCTGGCCCGCAGAAGGGTGTTTACTTGAATTTCAGGTCAATAATGAAACTATAAGCAGAAGGGCATTAGCACTAAATCGCCTCAAACTTTTTTAAAACTGAAATATTTCCAAGAAAAAAATTGTGGCCGTGTTCTACTACACCATTTTTATTAGTCTTTTATGTTTTAAACCAATTTTCAGGACGGAAAGCATTTCAAATATAAAACAAATCTTTAAATGCGAATAATTTGAAAAGTAGTTTTCGAGTCGCTCGTGCGCTAACGCCCTTCTGCCACCCGGCCGACGAGCTATAATGATAACAAACACATCCTCTAACTACGGTACCATAAGTACATCAAAGGAATGATATAGAATAACAAGTGACCAAGGAGCAACACCTCTGGCTCATATTGAAGACAAGGTAAACATCATCTTGATACTTGATACTGACAGTGGTCACATTCATTTACCATTTGTTTGCAATACCTTTCGGAATGTTTCTCATAAAAAGAAAGAAGAAGTAATGGCTTACTTGATTTCATTATTGATAGCATCCAACTGTTCTTGAAGCATAGCTGCTAACGTCTGAGCATCAGTCTGACCTTGAGGTGATAACATATCAACCGCTGAGAAGATACCAGCGTTATCCTCACCAGCAGGAGACGAACTCTCACTCTCAAAGGCTTGAGCTATGTTTGCTAACACATTCGCTTGCTCTGCTTTCTCCCATTCCTGCTCATTCAACGTGTGAACCTGCTGAAATGTAAGGGCGAAGGAGGGAAAAGATGAAATGACAAGGGACAGTGATAGACAAATGGACAAGTGTTACAAAGGTTTGTAACAATAAGAATAGGCGAAGGAGGGAAAGGATGAAGTGAGGAAAAAAGGGATAAAGAGATGGGCAGACAAACAGACATGTATATAAAGGAAGGGAATGATGGATTGACAATATAGTGTATTTATCATTGAATAATGGAGGGATGAAGAGAAAGACAGATAAATGGAGGGATGGTTGTTGAATGAAAACACAATGGAACAAACAGGTGGTGGATAACATAGGGAGATGGCGATAAGGTTAACATACATGAATGAACGAAGGAATGAAAGAATGAATGAGTGAGTGAATGAATGAATGAATAAATGAGTGAGTGAATGAATGAATGAATGAGTGAATGAATGAATGAATGAAGGAATGAATGAATGAAAGAATGAATGAGTGAGTGAATGAATGAATGAATGAATAAATGAGTGAGTGAATGAATGAATGAGTGAATGAATGAAGGAATGAATGAATGAAAGAATGAATGAGTGAGTGAATGAATGAATAAATGAGTGAGTGAATGAATGAATGAGTGAATGAATGAATGAATGGATTAATGAATGATTGGGTGATTGATTATTGGAAGGAATGAATGATTGAGAGAGAGAACCACATCCAAAACATAGATAAGAAATCATGATACACACATCACAAATAAATCAAAATCAATGAATTAAAAACAAATGAATTCAAATCAAATTAAATCATCAAAATAAACGATGTAAAATTAGAAGTATACATACACGAGTAGATGATATTAAAATACAATACAACAAAGGTACATTGATTAATAGAATGCAAATATTGAATGATTCCACCAGACACAGAAAGACAAGATGAAAAAAAGATTGTGAGACGGGAGAAAAATCAAAGAAAAAACCAAACAGGTGTGAACAAAATGCTTGCTTTCATTCTAAGTGATGAACATTGTACTACACAATATACAGAGAATTTTATCACATTCACACTCCCAAAATAAGAACGCTTTTATAAATGATCCCAAAGAACATTAGAGCTAGTCCATTCTGTATTTGGCTATTTGAAGCAGTTTTGTTGCACTGGAAGCTATGTGAATCTATAAAGTGTCTCAAACCAGCTTGGAATACAAGGAGGCTTGAACCCTAACCCTATTTCACAAGACTATCTTATTTAGATGGTTATGCAAATCACTTCCAGGCACAGTCACTCTTAGAAATAACTTTAGGAAGGTGGATGGCAATTTTTTTCAGAGAGGAAATTAAAGAATTATATTTTTATCACTCAGACTTCAGTGCAATTCTCGCGTTTTGTTTGTCTTTTGTTTTTTTAAGGGAGATATTTATCTACTCCTTTGGTTTTCTGCCAATCATATCTCTATTTTTGTGCATGAACAATAATTGTTTAGTTTTTTTTTACACCAAAATGAATTATTTGCATACTTCATGCAGTGCATATGACAGTGCAATTGAAAATAATAAAATGCAGAGCAATATTTTAATTTTGAAGCTTGTGTGAAATGATAAAAATCAATTTAGTACCGTGAAACTTTCCTGAGATATCATTTCTAAATCTAATATGAATGATGAAAACATGAGCACCAACTAAATGCCTGCAGCATTACTATAAGTATGAATGAAAAAAGCTCTTCCGTGATGTCATAAAACTATGTATGAGACACAGCGTGCTAGGGATATGAAGTGTGTAGGTAAGAGGTCAAATGAACATCCAATAGAAGGCTCGGGCTATATAAATCATTAATACAACACAGTTTAGAACACGATAGAATTTATCAAAGCAGCTCATTGTAAAAACTGCTCAATTTGACATCAATCAGAGGAAATGATTTCCTTCCCTCTCTCTCTCTTTGTCTTTTCCTCTTTATCTACATTAATAAAACGACATCTTTAGTTTTTTTCTCAATACTTCTCACTCCAAATCAAATTATCATGACACAACAAGAATACCCTTATACAGTAGGCTTACGGTTGCACCATGTGAGAGAGGGGGGGGGGGATTGAGTATTCCTAAAAAGGACTGTTGGTAATCCTGGAAGGACTGGTGTAATCTTTCTTGAGCTTATAGTTCTAAAGAGAACTATAGTGCCAGTAGGAGAGGATGGGTGGTAGGAGAGGCTTGACGTTTCAAATAGGTTGACTATCCGTCATCAGGACTACACACACACACAAGAAAGATTACCAACAGTCCTTTTCAGGACTCCCCAATCCTCCCCCGTCTCACATGGTGCAACCGTGAGCCTACTGTATATCTACATCACCATGCAAGCCGATACTTATAAGCAGCATCTAAGAATACCTTTCTATCGTTGCCCTTGAGCGCTTCGACCCGTCCCTTCTGGGGGCGCCGTACAACATCGTCTTCATTTCGGCCTGGTTTAGAAGCGTTAGCCATCACAACATCAGGTACAGCTTGGGAAGTAGTACTACCACTGTAAGAAAACAATTAGGATGATAATAGGTATTGTACAGGTGTAATAGTTGTACTACCACTGTAAGAAAACAATTAGAGTGATAATAGGAATTGTACCAGTGTAATAGAGGTACTACCACTGTAAGAAAACAATGAGGATGATAATAGGAATTGTACAGGTGTAATAGTTGTACTACCACTGTAAGAAAACAATTAGAGTGATAATAGGGATTGTACCAGTGTAATAGAGGTACTACCACTGTAAGAAAACAATTAGGATGAAAATAGGAATTGTACGGGTGTAATAGTTGTACTACCACTGTAAGAAAACAATTAGGATGAAAATAGGAATTGTACGGGTGTAATAGTTGTACTACCACTGTAAGAAAACAATGAGGATGATAATAGGAATTGTACCAGTGTAATAGAGGTACTACCACTGCAAGACAGCAATTAATTTGTTTTTGATTGGTTAAGAGCTCTTCATGTGACCAGAAATATTACTAAAAAGTACTATTTGGGAGTACTATGTGGGAGTAGGAACAAAATTGTAAATAAATTTTTGACACTGGATATAAAACAAATATACCCTGCCTTCTTTTTGAGGTACTGGTTAAAACAACTGGCCTTGGAGAGTCCAAAAGTACAATCGGATTCACCTCTTGCCAATAGTTTTAACCAGAACCTCTCAAGACAGTGTATATCTGTATATTAATATGATACATATTAGTATACCAAACCATGAAACAAATACTTGGGATGCTTTATTACTGCTCAAATAAAATCATATGAAGACGTTAAGTGCCTCCAGTTGTATGTGTAGAGTGTTGTGAGGAGCCTGATTTATCTTGGGGTTGTATGCCCCAGCAATATATGAACAATCATATCACATAAAGATATGACCTAAAGTGTACCAATAACCAACAAATAAACATGTATGTTCTGTGCATGTGGTTTTATGGTATTCACTATTTTCTTCACATTCTTCATCTGTTAGCCCATAGAGAGCTGGTTTATGTTTGGGTTAGGGTTTAATGTTGATTTTTATACATTCTAGATGAACACCAATTGTTTTTGAGGTGACTGGTAAACTTCAATGATGATCATTTTAGTATGGTTTTTTTTTTTTTTTTTTTGTTCTGTTCCTTTGTTCTTGATTTCCTGTATGTGTGTTTTTAGGGGAAGGCTTTTATATAAGGAAAATCCTTTTCTGCCTATCCCAAATGTTCTCATAAATTGCCATTGTAATTTGTTATCACTTTCTTGTTTTTTTATAACTCTATTCCGTATTTGTATGTTTTAAATGTTTTTATGAAGAGTGTTGAATAAACTTTGAATTTTCATACAAACCTAATATTTCTAGCTGAGCCATCTGAATCCAAACTCTCTCTCAAGGATCTTATCTCTATCCTCAATCGATCTCTCTCCTCAACAACTTTACTTTTCTCTCGTTCAATCTCGTCCATCGACCGTCGGATCTTGTCTAATTCCTGAGTCATACCATTCTGAAAGGAAAAACAAAGTTATGTTTGATTGAATCTTCCATCACTATATCATAAGCTGTTTGATTGAATCTTCCATCACTATATCATAAGCTGAGAGGGAGCCAGAATCAAGTGCATTAATCCCTTCTACCTCTTAATACACGATTGAACTCCAATCAATTATCAATTCAGAACTAAATTCTACATCTTAATACACGATTGAACTCCAATGAATTATCAATTCAGAACTAAATTCTACATCTTAATACACGATTGAACTCCAATCAATTATCAATTCAGAACTAAATTCTACATCTTAATACACGATTGAACTCCAATGAATTATCAATTCAGAACTAAATTCTACATCTTAATCAAAGGATTGATCAAGAGCAGTCATGTGTCATTCATTTACTGAGACGATCAGTGTGGCAATGTGCAGAGAGGTAACTGCGTACTATGTGTTTGCTAGTACACGTTGCAGCAATAAGCATGCACGCATGAAAATAGTAGGCTTATATTCTGACTGCATACTAAATTAAGTCTACTAAACTTGGATTTTGTAAAAGAGGCGGTGCAAAATTCATTTAAAAGAATAGCTTACAAGCAAAGGAAAGGTCACCACATCAAAAGTAGGGCATATTCTTGGACTTGTTTAATAAAGTTAAGTTTTTAAAAAGGGGGCATTGGCCACCCCCAGCCCATCTGTATCTGTCAGGGTGCATTTCCCCTACAATGGCAATGCAATATACATTCATTCTAATAACAATTCATTCTAATACAAGTTCATTCTAATACACATTCAGTCAATATACATTCATTCTAATACACATTCATTCTATACATTCTTTCTAATAAATATTCATTCTAATATACATTCATTCTAATATAAATTCATTCAATAAACATTCATTCTAATGTACATTCATTCTAATATACATTCAGTCAATAAACATTCATTCTAATATACATTTATTCTATACATTCTTTCTAATATATATTCATTTTAATATACATTCATTCAATATACATTCATTCTAATATACATTCTTTCTAATATACATTCATTCTAATATATACATTCATTCTAATACACATTTATTCTAATATGCATTTATTCTAATATGCATTCATTCTAATATAAATTCATTCTAATATACATTCTTTCTAATATACATTCATTCTAATATATACATTCATTCTAATATACAGTCAGATAATTCTCTACCTTATCGTCTAGAGCAGACATTCTTTCCTTGAGATGGATCTTCAATCTCTCATTAGATTCTGTGAGGAGTTTATCTACCGTAGCTGATAATCTCTTGTTATGCTCTTCATTCATTCGCTCCCGCTCTCTTGCCTGTTGAAGAAATGGTGGAAGAAAGAATCACAGAATGGATTATCTAGAATACAAAAAGATGTTGTCTGCTCCTTACTATGTGTCACTGTGCTCACAAATGTTTTCATCCTACTCATATCCTCCCATCATCTCTTTCTTTTAACATCAATTCTTCTTTCTCTACATCTTTTTTCCTTTAAAAAAAATATTATCATTCTTCTTATTTTCTCATGTCCCTCTGGTTCTTCTCCTTCTCCTCCTCCTCCTCAATCCTATACCACAAGACTTACCCTTTCTAGTTCATGTTTGCATTCCTCCAATTCATTCCTGAGTTGCTTTAGCTTCTCTTCTGTGTTACCTTGCCTCTCCTCCGCCTGTAGAATTCAAAACAGATAATCTTAGAATTGACAGAAAAGATTGCTTCACATTTTTCTACATTCTATTTTCAATGGTGTTACAGGTACTATACACATATTCATACTCACTACAATGCATCATTTGCATTTCATATTGAAATATATTTAAGCAAGCCTCTGTATTGAATCCATTTTCAATAAACATTTACAAAATTACAAAATCATAATTTTTAACGCTGGGAGTAATAATTAGGAGGGCCATATGTATCAAGCACCAGTCTGTGTCAAGCCCAGTGAAATGTTGATCTATTGAGAAGATAATAATAATAATACTACTCAGTTTTTATATAGCGCTTATTACAATCATTAGGCACTTCCAAACTTGGAATTTATTATGCCGGCTTTAGCTGTGTTGCCATTACCAGAGCTGCCAACCTCCAGAACAGAAAATCAGTAATCACAAGGCTCAAAATCAGTAATTTGGGGTATAAATCAGTAATTTCTTATGCGGCGCTATGAATCTAAAAAAACGACACGCCAACACTGCGCGGACGCATGATTATCTGAAATTTTTGGTGATTTTACTCACACAAAGATGTTAAGTATTGAATTTCAGGTCATCACAACACAGTTTATCATGAAAAATGGCTCCTATTCACAGCACTCGCTACGATAAATCATATTTAATTCATTAAAAAAAAAAATAAAAAAAAAAAAAAAAAAAAAAAAAAAAAAAACTTTTTTTTTTTTTTTTTTTTTTTAAATCCGTAATTTGAGACAACATTCCGTAATGGTCGTTAATTTCCGTACCAATTACGGAAAATCCGTACTAGTTGGCAGCTCTGCATTACGGTGCTCTAGCATTTTTCAAAGAATTAATTCCTGCCAGGTACCCATCACCTGGGTTGAGTGTGACAAATGTAGATCAATGTCTTGCCAAAGGACATTAGTGCCACAGCAGGTCTCAAACTGCGGACCTTGTGATAGACAGTCCGGCGACTTAAAGGCCATCAGTACTAGTGTAAAAGACGGATTAGACCACACTGCAAGGTCACTGGACAGGTGGTTATCTCATCAACTCAACTCTCAATTAACATAAGAAAAAGAGGATCATGGGGGACCAATAGGCATTGTTTGTTATATAGAGGGGGCAAGTATCTACAAGTAGTGCAATGTGGCTTTAATCACGCGACCACGGCACCTCTACAAAGAATGAAAGCTTTGTACCTGAGAGAGGGCAGCCATTCTATCTGCTAACTCAGCTTCTACACTAGGCAAGGCTTCCGCTTTACTCAAGGATTGGGATAATCTTTGTTCTGAGGCATCTAGTCTCTCCTGCATCCCTCGCTGCTTGTCTTCACACTAAACAGCACAAAACAAAACAGAAATTAAACATGTGTATGAAATTGAGTCTTGCTTACAGCCCTTGCTATCTGTCTCCATACTGAACGACAAAAAAAAAGTAGAAATACACATCTGATTACATCATTCATTCTCTTTGTCCCTTTTAATAAAAAACTAACTATTATTTTCATTCTATTCTCCACTTATCCACCTCCTCTAAGAGAGAGCACCAAGTGTAAAGCTGTTCATTTTCTACAAATTATTGTCATTTTGCAACATATTCTGAACAACATTAAGCTAGTCATGACCTAAACAAACAAAAAATTACTTTAAAAAAAAAAAACCATTTCCATTTTGTATTGCCCCCCCCCCTTTTCCCCCTCCCCCTCCCCATTCCCCTCCCCCTCCCCCTCCCCATCCCCCAATCGCACTCCATTCAAATTCTGTATTACAGCCACCTCTTTAGTTAAGGAGGTTGATACATAAATCATGGGACACATTCTGCCCACTTCAACCCGGACAAGAGTTAGTACACACTTGTATGTATCATGGCTGTATCATCTTCAAATATTTGTTGTCATTTGCGAAACTACTTTGTTATTTATCATGTTGTTTACATATTCAAATTTGTCATGATTGTAACAGCGCATAAAGAAATTTTCAATTTAGTATGCGCTTAATAAATATTCTCTATTATTATATTAAAGAAATATTCTACAACTAACTTACTCCTAAATCCTAATGAATTGCTTACCTGTTTGACATCAGCCTCTCTACTGGCTAGCTCAGCTTCTAGTTTATCATTGAGATCATGTAGTGATGTTGTCTCTCGTTGGGCGTTCAGGTATCGCTTCTCAAGAGTCGCTATCCGCTCCTCCATGTCCTCCTTCTGGGCCATTGCCTTATAATGAACCAACGAGGGGGCAAGAAAGATATAGCTTTCAGTTTCATGGAAATAATCAAATTTAATTCAATCAACACATTTTCCCTGCCATTTGATTACAAATATTATCATTGCTATGAAATCATCACATTCAATTAAATCGTTATCAGTATGGTCATCTCAGACTTTAATATTTTAGGCAAATCCCTGGTTCTTGGCTCTATTTTCTGAAAAATATACCTTAATTTTCTATATCCTCCTCCTCCCTCATCACTATAAACATCATCCACCATCATTATCATCATCATCATCACCATCATCATCATCATCACCATCACCATCATCATCATCATCATCACCATCATCATCATCATCATCATCACCATCATCATCATCATCACCACCATCATCATCACCATCATCATCATCATCACTACCATCATCACCACCATCATCATCCCCATCATCATCATCATCATCACCATCACCACCACCATCACCACCATCTTCACCACAACCACCCCCACCACCACCAACACCATCACCACCACCACCATCTTCACCACAACCACCCCCACCATCACCACCACCATCACCACCACCACCATCACCCTGACTACCGGTATATCATCATGTTTCTCACCTCTTTAGCATCCCGTTGATATTTAGCAGCCATTTCCTGAGCTTTGAGCATCTCTTTCTGAGCCATTGCTAGACTCTCCTCCAGTTCAGCCACCCTGATGTTAGCGTCCGTAACCCTGATCTTAGCTTGACCGAGTTCATGGTTCTGTTTCTCTAGAGTGTCCCGAAGCTCAATGACACGACTCACATCATCATCAGGGTCGATAGACCCATTTGATAGCCTCTGTCAACAAAAAATCAAAATAGCATTGTAAAGGTAAGTAAAGAAATATATGAAGATGACATAGCCTCTGTGAAATATATCAATAAATATAGCATCGTTAAAGTAAATACAAGAACAATAACAATATTGTACAGAATGGGGATGTATCATCTCTCTATGTAAGCTGGTCTAATGATCAACTTCATATTTTGATTTTGACTGCTAAGATAGCATTTGTATGCTTGAGTAAGCAACCAGGCAGCTGACAGCTCTAAGTCCTCTAAGTATTTGGTAATGAGGATTAAA